CTGCAGGTGTTGATTACCTTTGCAGTGAAAGCTTCCTTCTCCAATTTCAAAGGCATGCCTGGGGAGTAAGAAGATTCACTATTGCTACGTGTAGTATATAGATGATAAGAGTAGAATTAGATGACAGCACACATGCTGTGCGTATGAATCCGTTGTACATAAAATTTGTTCTTCAATTGCTAACATTTGGCTTAACTTTGTGTGAAAGTAGTGGGGTGGGGGAGACAGAGAACTCCAGCAACAGCAGGAGGAATGGGGAGGAGTGTGGCTGAGACTGAAATTAGGTCGTTGTATTTTTAGGAGTCTGTCACACAGCTCTTTCTGTTCGCATTAGGTACTTTCACTTCTCCAGCCCCACTCTGCCATGCACAAAACCTGCCCATGGATAAGAACAAAATGGCAGCTACATAATTATAGATGGGACAACTGATTTCAGCCCCTTTCATAAGAATATAGTAAATGCCATGCTGCATTAGACCAATGCTCCATATACCACAGTATCCTATCTCCAACAGTGGCAGGATTGAATGCCACAGAGAGAGAGAATTGAACCAGATATATCTAGTGATCTACCCTTATCCCCTCCCTGGTAGCCACCGTTTATTGGTGTAAAGATATCTCCAACTGTTCTCTTGGAGATAATAATGGAATTATCCAGTATTATTATTATCCAGAATGATTCAGTCCTTTTTTGAACCTGGCTATTCCATCTGCCTCTACCACCTCCTCTGGCAATGAATTCCACAAGTTAACTATGCATTTATTAATCAAGTACTTTCTCCTGTTAGTTTTAAACCTGCCTCCTATTACTTTCAGCAGGTGCACCTAGGTGTAGTATTCTGGAACTCGGTGAACAACAGTTCCCTGTTCACTTGGTCCAAACCCTTAATGAGGTTACAGACCTCTATCGTATATCATAGCAATACCTCACAGAGCCCCTGTTTGGCAGAGGAAGTGTAGAGGTACCTGATACCAGGTGGGGTTGGATATCCTTGATATGGAAGAAATAGAGATCAAGGATGCATAGAGTCCCTGGCATGGAGAAGGGGAAGACTTTGTGGGGTGCACACCACCGCTGATGGGATGAAAATGGGGAGGGAGTCTGATAAAAGAAGGGTGTAAAACATAGCACAGAGCAAGCATCTCTAGACAGCTACAAGCAACATAGGACTGGGAGGGACCCCCCTAGGTAGTTAAGCCCAGGCTCCTTTGTGCAGGCAATCATTTCCCCATTGAGTCCCCAAAATAGTCCCTTCAAACCCTCTCTAATTCTCTTTCATTCAGAGGCTCTAGTTCCTTAACCATCATAGAGCTTCTCTTAATCTGATCCAGTCTGAGTTCATCTCTTTCAATGATGCACCTTCTGGTGCATGGTATTCCAACCTAGGACTTACCAGTGCCTCATACAGTGGTATCAATGCTTTCTTTTCTGTACTGAATAAATCCCACCTCAGACACCCTAAGATTGTGTTAGCTTTGCTCACAAGTGTTACACAGGTGGCTTATGGTTATCTTACAATGGTCCAAATGCCCAGTTCCTTCTTTTCTTCAAATATCTCCAGATTATGCACCTCCCCCTGATAGGTGAAGTTCTTGTTGTTGGGTCCCAGGTGCATGGCTTTGGAACATTTCTTCATTCCACTTCTAATGCCTCATTTCACAAGATTATTTTAATCTTCCTGTACAATAGTTTGGTCCTCTTCTGCATTAGCAATATCCCTACCTTAGTGTCATCTGCAAGTTCTGTGAGGACAATTCCAGCTTCAGCACCAAGGTCACTGTTGCAAATGTTAAACAGGACAAGTTCTAGGACTGATCTCTGAGGAACCCCATTGTTAACCACTCTCCAGTCACCTTTCAGTATAACCATGGTATCAACGTTTTGTTTCAGTCTGGATAAATTAAACCTACTGCATTGCCCTTACCCAAGAAGTCTGTTATCTTGTCATGGAAAGTCAGACATTATCATCTAATAAAACTATGTTGTGCCTGAACCTATTTTCCAGTCATTACCTCATTCAGTTAAAAACAAATCTTCTTGGGAAAAATAAGACAAGGCATCTCCACTAGGATTTTCCAGTCTTTCCATCAGACAGGGTAAAGTAGATGTCTTGCTCTGATCTTTACCCACTACTAGACAGATCAGAAGGGACATTCGCAAGTCTTAAAAAACCCTCAGTGTTCTCAGGAGCAAGGCCCAGAGATAGTCCAGAAGTCCTTTATTATCTTTCCATGTTGGTCATTTCAGAGCTAGTGGGGGGCATGATGTGCGGCATCCACCCACCCTCCTGTCTGCTCTGTGCATAGATCCAGGAGCGAAAGCTGTTAGGAATGAATACTGTGTACTGCTCCTTCAGGGTTACTCCCCCACCCCCCCAAAAAAACCCACAAACCTATAACAATAACCACAGACTATTTCTCCCTTTTAGTATCTCCAGGTATCAAGGGAACAAGATATCATATGCAATCCACTGATGTAATTAAACTGTATAGAATATGAGCCTTTTTAATGTCAACACGCTCACTGGCCACATCCCATGATATCTCTCTTCCACTGTTCCATAAGGTGGCTGTTCCTAGGCTCTCAATTCAAGTCCTATTATGTATACATCTACCCTTGTCATAACACTACCTCTGAAACACTCACACCGCTTGGTCCCAATGCATAATATTAAGAGGGTGGAATTTAAAATGAAAAAGACTGTTTAAGTAATGTCAACAGCCTGACTAATTTCACAAAAGGAAGGAAATTCAAAGTTAAGGCAATGGGTATATTCTTATCTAGATGCCTGAGGATTTTTGTGCATGACAATATGCCCCTAAAATTCAGAGCTGTCCCTTATGTCTTTAATTTCTCCCATTGTCTCTCTCCTTTTTTTTTATTAAACATCAAAGTGAATTCACAACAGAGAGTCAGCCTAGAATTTAATCCTCTAAATACCTTGAAAATAGAGGTTTAGAATAGAAGTACCAATATACACCCTCAAAACTTCAGTGTAATATAAAAGAGATTCTAATCACAACAGATCATTACAAAGAAGAGTAAACCACTCTAAAAAATTAAGTGTCTTAAATATAATAAAAAGGAATAATTAAGAATCAAACAGGAAGCTGCCATCATGACAATTTAATGATGCTCAGTAGGACTGAAAGAACTGGCTTTGCCATTAAGAAACAGTGGAAATCTGACAATTTCAAGATGGCAGTGAGATAAGATCTGGGCATGTTTTTAAAGATCAAGTGTAACTGAACCAGCCACTACTGCTTTCTTTTCTTTTTTTTAATACATGGTAAAACTTGCCTTAAAAGAACCTTGCAATATTTCAGATTCCTATTGCTTTCTAAGGCTTGTTCTTTCACTCTTCCCTTACCTCATCAGATTATTCTCTTCTTGGGAAAGTGTTACAATGCAACCCCTATAGGGAGAAATATGACGGACTGATTTCTTGACTGGCAATTATTAAACAATGGCTGATATTTGTTTAATTCGTTTTTAATTTGTCCTTTTAAAAATCAGTGTTGACATAACAATATCTGAGGTATTATAACCAATTACATGAGAGGTATTTCATTAATTGTATCACTGTAATAAATGAACTTAGACTAGATCTGTGTTGTTTTCATATAAACTTTCAGTTATTCGGGAGTGCATCCCACTAATGAATGTGACTGGGTTTTTTTAAACAGGATAGGTATACCAATTCCCAAATTGTGAAATTTGTGCACCTAATTTATACAAGTATGCCCTAATTGTGCATTGAGCCTAGATAATTACACATGAAAATAACTAATTATGAAAAATTGTGCACATAAAGAACGGTGTTGTGTGTGCAGCCAGGGCACCTGAATGCCTTGTATGCATTATACAAGTGCATGTATTTAGGTTCACAACTGCAAGCATTCTTCGAATGCACCACTGTATATTCAACTTCTTTTGAAAAAAAATCAGAGACAGTGCACTCTGCCTAATGAATCTGAGGACATGGACTTAATAACTGTCAGAATACTCTATATTTGCATGGAGAAAGATGTTAATCTGTTTTCATAGCAAATTTTTATTACTCTTTTCAAAAACAAACAGCAGAAGGATAATATGTAGTTATATGTTGATCTGGAACAGAAAATCATTCTTACAGTCAACAAATGCATATTCTATGCATCAATAATGGGTAGACAACAGACAAGTGCGGAACCTTTATATCACGTTATTCTGAGTTATTTTAATTGCTTATTACTAGAGTTTTCTAACTCAGTTGTTTGGATCATTACCTTCTGCCTACATAAAATTCTGCCTGAAACCATATATTCTTCACCTTCTGTTTTAAAGCATTGTGTAAGATTGTTTTGTGTATGTTGCTACAGAGTTATCCTCCTCATCTGGCGGCACTTTTACTGTGAATGAAGAAATGGTGTGTGCTTATCCTGCAGTGTGTTTACAAAACACTATGATGTTTATGATGCTGAAAACCTTGGTTGTTTTCATTATATTATTAGCTTACTTTTTCCAGACATCCTAGGTAAGTGTATGAAGAAAAATTCATTCAGAAATTATGGGCCAGATGATCAGCTGGGGTAAAGTGAAGTAAGCCCTTCTAAATCAATGGATTTACACTGATTGCACCAGCCGGGCATTTGGCACAGAATAATCCAGTAACCCACAGGCATGTGACTTGTCACCCACGTAACTGTGTCAGAACAAATAAAAAATGCTGAAGGCTCATTTTAGTACATAGTTTATCTTTATCTTCAACATTACTATTTGAGTCACAAATCATGAAGTTGGTTTTCAACTACCTGTATTCTGCTGCCATCCTGTGGCTTACAGAAATCATTGCATTATTATTGTAGATCTTTGTGATAGAACATTAATAAAATCTGTGAAGGTGACACACCATTAAGGTAGGGTCCCTTTTGTGGCGAAAAGGGAGCTGGTCTTTGATATTAGGAACACTGTAACCTGACATCCCACAAACAGTAGCATTTTTCTGCATTTTAAACAATTACCAGTCTTGATTGGATTTCTGCTTGATAAACCGCAGACACACATAGTATAGCAGTATGAAACCAGTACTGATACCAGCAAGGATGAGGTAGCTTATGTAGAGAGGATGAGAATCCAGATCCAGAGCTTGAATTACCTATAACCATAAACATCATAAAATAGTAGTTAAAAGCTTCTTTGGAATGGATCTATGGCACATTTCCTCCTTGTTATACTTTCCTCATTCCTCATGTTTTAGGTATAGCTTTCAGACAGGGGTGTCAAACCTTGGACCCGTGAGATGGATTTGGTCCAGTGGGCTACCTACCGGTGAGCCATTGGAAGCTGGAGGCAATGTGGACAGGGGCCTGCTGCAGAATCCAGGTCCCTGTGGGCATGGCAATTGGTGACAGGAGACTGAGAGGGGGTTGATCTGGCCCTGATCTGCCTCCATTATCATTGCTGCAATCCAAACTCCTTGGCTACTGGCCCTGGAGCCACCACCGCCACCACATGTCCTGTGCTGGAGCCAGAACTGGCACAGCCGCTGCGACCTCTATCTCAGCTAGATCTGGCCCATAGGGAGCCCCATGGACCAGATCTTGTCTGGGGCACAGTGTGAGTTTGACACCCGTGCTTTAAGATATGGGGCTACAATGTTCTGATTGTCAATTACAGTAATACAGCCCCATTTTCGCATACTGTTGTTCAGGTGTAGCTGATGTTTGACAGAGAATTATTGCTTTATTGATCCCTGGATAGGAAGGGATGACAAATTCAGGCACCATATAAACACTGAAAGCAAATCTGCCAGAGACAAATCCCTTCTGCAGGAGTAGCAGAGGTTTGCCATTTGTGCTATAGTCCACTTTGACTTTGTGTACACATGCACACTGGAGAAACACAGTGAGATTTCCCCATCATTCAGGTTAGTATCAACAGTAACTGGGGCATCCAAATGTTAAAAGCCAGGGCTCTTAATCATTATGCCAGTAGAAGAAAGGTCTATTCAAGTCTAGTGGCTCATTAGAGGGTTAAGGCTGCACTAGTTTCTTAGCCAATGGCATACACAAGAGTGATGTGGCTAGCATCACATCTGGCTGCTGGAAAGACCAGGTACCAATTTGTAGCTGGGTCAGCTGGGAATGGCCTTTAGCATGAATCCAGAGCAGGGTTTAAACTCCCGACTCCAGAGCCATAGTGAGAAGCTTTACCAGTGTTGCTGCCAGGCCCCTTTACAGCTATGAATCTCTACTTTATTCTGCCTTCAGCTAGTATCCCACCAATCTTCTGAAACAGGCTTCAGAAGCTCACTCACAAGCAGGGCCGGAGAATGCATCACTCTTCCTTCTCCGTGGATGCTGGAATGGGAGTAACTGCATGTGGTTCTAACCACTTCTAAGCCCTCCTTTCCTTCTCTGTTCTTGTGCAGGATCTGACAGGGAGCTGATACAGAAAGGGAGCAACTAAATAATCCCACCAAACCTCACTGATGCCATAGCATCAACCTCAGCTGAGGTCAAAGAGTTTGACTGAGCCAGTTATGACAACAATACAGATGCCTTTTCTTAATAATTTATCAAATACTTGTGTGCATTCTTATTGGAGAACAACTTACAAGTTTCCCTGGAATTTGAAAGGTAACATTGCCAACTGTCATGTGGTACGTGAGTCCTGTGAACTGAAGTTGCATCAGGCTTTGGAAATTCCATCTGAGGAAAGATATTTTAGAAAACCACGATGGAACTGGAAAAGATGGCAAGAAGGGAAAGGAAGAAGCTGTTTTAATATAAATACACCAAATGTATCCATAGCCTCTAAAACAGAGGTTCCCAAACTTTTTCTTATTGCATACCCCCTTCCAGGTTTACCAGCTGCCCATGTACCCCTACCAGCATACATTTTATATTATAACCCCTTAAATGCCAATTATTACTATAATGAAAATTAATTCCGCCGTTACACAATTTCTTCAGTGTACTCCCCCAGAGATGTCTTGCGTACTCCCAGGGGTACACATACCACAGTTTGGGAACCCCAGCTCTAAAACAAACAGGTTATCATGAGTTTCTTGAGCATGCTATCATAGAATTCATCTTACTGATGGATTAACATGTCTAAACAAATTACTTGGGTATAAAAATTGGGTATGCAAACCTGGAGGGTCCCCCTTTATCCTGCCACCAAAAAACCCCCCAAAAAACTAGTACAGTCCCTCCTGTGGGAGCCTTTTTGCATATATTGTACTTAATTAAAGCATATTTAGTTTGGGGCCAACTTTGATTAAATGGTTTAAGTTTTGTTTAAAAAACAAGCTAGTAAACAAACTATAAAAACACTAGAAAGGGCTTCATTTTAAAATACCACAATATCTCTCTCTCTCTCTGTCTTTAGTTTTTAAGCATTCTGATCAGGTATCTGCTCCAGACTCTAGAGTTGCACTTGTGTGGGAGAGCCTGAAAATGATGCTGGCTATATCAGCACAACAGTGCAATTGAGAAGTCTGCATTCATTGCGCAAGCTGAAAAAATGCAAGAAGTAAGCAAGCAGCATAAATAACTAAAAGGAAATTGGATTTTTTTCAATATTTTTCCGTTTAAATAATATATATGATGTATACACTAAATACATTTGTTTGTAAATGAGATTTAAGTTGACAGTTCAAATATTATATTAGCAAAGTAACTACCGTGTATTGTTGCTATTTGTTATACAATGACAATGCTAAAATGCAGTATTAAATAAGGCTTCCTAATATTTCACTTGTAATTGAGCGCCATAGTGAAAATAATGTAGTTCTGAACTTTAATCAGACAGGTTTTATGCTTATCTTTGAATTATTTTTCTAAAAACAAATTAAAGACAGTGTGTGGTACCAAGCTTTTAAATAGTGCTTTTTAACCACAGATACCAGAAAGTTAGCTATTAGTAAGCTCTCTTAGAGACAAGGGAGCTGAGGCACACAGCAATGATTGGTTCATCTAGCCTCATCCAACAGGATAGTAACAGAGCTGGGAATGGAGCTCAGGCCTTCTGAACTGTCATACTGTGCTCTGTTCAAATTGCCTATTGTTTACAGAAGTTATAAGTGTGTGTCATCTGTGAGTCTGCACCAGTCTTACCTGTCCACAGGTTTTCTAAGCTTATCACAAAACCACCACTCAGGAAAAATGTTATGAAAAGCGAATTGCCTAAGAAGGCCGAGAGCTGTAAGGTTGGCAGCAGAGCTGACACCCATAGCGCCAGTCCTCGAGCACAATAAACCACTAGCCAGACTGACAAGAGGTTCAGAAGGAAATGTTCTGGCACAGGACTGAGATTTGCCAACCAGTAGATGGGAACCCCATAGATTATTACAAAAGTGCAATGCTCTGGAAGTTCACCCAAAATCTGGGGAGAGAAGAAGAAAAAATGAAAGTCACAGAACTTTCTTATTTCAGATCTACAATTCTGCAAGAAATAATCAATGAAAATGTAATCATCCCCTTTTTAGATGTTCTCAATTACATGCTAAAAATGAAATGAGGCTTCTACTTAATTTCTTTTTCCATTGCTGGTTGTGACATTTTTTATAATGAAGATAATAAGGATAGTTGTCTTGTTAAGGATTAAACTTTTTGCTGTGTTTAGTTTGTCAGCTTCCATAAAAACTTGTATAAGCTTTATAGCAAAATGTCCCTATTGAGTCTCTACAAATGCAGTTTTGTCCAAATTCTGAGGCAAACACACTTCAAAGCACAAACTGGTACCTTTCCTCTTTTCTGCTGTTGGGCCAGCCTATTGCACAATCTAATCAATTCAGTTTTAACAAAAAAAAAAATAGAATGCACATCAAGCTAAAAATATGTACGTAATATTGTAATACTTGAATCCACAGGAACAAAGAATGTACTTGAAGTGTTAGGTGACTTACTACTATACCTCTACTGCTGTGTTCATAACAAATTACATTGTTTTTTCTGTGAAAACTATGCTATTTTTGTGACATGATTTGAAGCATGATTTTTCATGCAGCTAACGAGGGTTTTATATCTTGTGTGGAAATGGAAACCTAAATTATAGATGCCATAGTGGCTGAAACTCATCAAAAAGAGGCAGTATTACAAAGAAGGGGTTATTCTCAGCTCTGGCAGTAACAACATATATTTTTTTAAAGATTCTTTGATTTTTTTTCCCCAGAAACAGTGGTGCTTCCTACACTTAATATATTTGTTTCCTCAGAGCAATCCTAAATTGAGCCCTTGAAGATGAAAGTAGCATCTAACATATTCTACCTCAATTTTTTGCTACTTATTTCTGAGGCAAAGTGAAGACGAGGTCAGCAATAGCATACACATGCAAACAACCCCCTAGTATTGCCATTTTATCATATATTGGCAGTATTTTTGAAAGATCTTTTGCATTACATGTTGCATTGCTAAACTCTCAACAGCACTCAAACTACACAGTAAGCAGAATAAAAGTTATGTGAAATCATATCACATTTGATTTTCAGAATTCCCAAATTTGGCAATGAGTTGTACCAGTAACAGCATTAGGGGATTGAGAATTTAGAAAGGTTTTTTGGCCTTTTGAGGGGGTTTTTTTAAACACTTCATGGGCTGAAATTATTGATGGAAACAAATAATAAAAGACCTCACATGTCCAACTACCTGATCTGTGTGCACAGACATTTACAACTGGAAATCAGTAACTGCCATTTATGCTAAGAAGTGACGTTAGCCACGAAGGTGGGGCAGAAATAATTTCAGGCAGAACTTTGGTACTTTGCAACATCTATCCTTGACATAGCACATGTTAAAGATGCTCAGTAAAAACATAACAAGGCAAGGGCTTTCTGTGATATCTTATTGGACAAACTGTACAATTGGAAGAGATGTTGAGGCATCAAGGAAGGCTATTTGTTGCCCAAAAGCTTCTCTGATATTTCTGCCAACTGTCCAGTTGGGACATCACATAAAACCCTTACTTCTCATACATTTCCTGGACAAGCAGAGCTATCCAGACTCGAACCTGCTTTGTAAAAGCAGCAATCTACACTGATTTGTAAATCAGATTATACTAAATCATACATTTAAGACACTGAAAAGGGCTTCCCTCTTCACCATCACAATCCAAGCTAACCTACAGTGACAGGGACTGTGCTTTCCCTTTAGAAACATGTATTGACCATTTAGAACAAATGACTCCATTATTGCCTACATGATCATGCTGACTTTTCTCTAACCAGTCAACACAGAGGGCAATGAGAAGCAACTGGTCAAGATGAATCTCTGCCATTTTTCTAATTTTGGCACTTGTTTGTGCATAGTGGAAGATTACAAAGGTCTTGTACCTTGCATAAGACAAGGGTTTCTTTTCTTTAGTGAGGACAAGGCTGGAAGGCCCTCTAGGCTGCTAGGCCATTTTGAAGATGTCAGAGAGTAACTTCATTGCAGTGATTAAAGCTCTTCCATCTCTTCACCTGCTCCTGTGGAACTGACCAGGTGTCTTTGCCACAGCCATATTTGAATAGCTAGTAAAGGTTCCTACAGTGCCTTTGATGATTTTCTTGCCTGGGGTTAGGCTCATAGTTTATGGAGCTAGGTGCCTCAAGTGTGTTATGAGGCTTACTTAATTAGTTAATGAACGTTTGGGAACCAGGATGACAACTGCATCTGACAGTCATCAGAGAAGTGCAAAGTACAATCAGGATTTCATCACCCACACAACAAGTCTTTGACTTTTCATCTTAAAACCTGATATGCACTTTTTTGACAGCTGAAAGTAGTTACCTTAGCAAAGAAATATGGACCAACAGAATATATTCCATCTTCTAAATCATGATAAAGCATAGCTCTTTCTGAATGACCTACAGAATAAAACACAAATGAGTTCATTTCATGCTAGGTCTGCCCTTAGCTAATACTTTTTTCACTATTGAGAATTATTTTCTTGTTTTGATTGTTTTAAAACATTAGCAACAAAATTGACACTTACATTTTGCAATAACATCAAAAATCACTGCAAAAGGAGTTATTGCACCCATCATGTACAAGAGAGCTGTTGTGTCCTGAATAGAAAGGTTGTTTTTCTCATGACCATAGAACAAGAATCCAATTAATAATGACATGAGAAGGGCCTCACACCCATGGATTAATAATGTTGAAATATCTCTGAAATCATTGGAGACTTGACGCCTGTGAAAACAACAATTCTAATTGTAAGTTATAATATTCACTAAAGCCAGCTACTCTCTACTTAGTTTGACCTCAATTCTGTTCTCATTTACATGTATTTATTCACTTTTAAATGGGAACAAAATTTGACTATTTAGAAAAACACATAGAATACAAATAGAAAATATTGTAACATATGGGCATCCACCCACTTGCTTCATGGTTATAGTTATTCTAAGATAGTATGGCTGCAGGGAACCTCTTAGTAGAAATAGGGATGGAAATTAGATCCTCAGCTCTAAATGTATTGATTCAATCACTTGAGATAAGGAGAAACTTTGCTAAAGAAAGGTCTATGCCTTGTGCTTCTAATATCACCAGCTATAAGGGAGTAGTACTCTATGCATATTAAGCTATTTAAATCATTTTTTTACTAGTTGTGTAAATGTCAGTAGTTGTCAGAATCTATCGTAATAAAAATAATCAGTATCAATATCAATAAACTATTGCATTAAAACAGTGGTGTTCAACCTTCTGGCCCCATGGGCTGAATCAGTGGCCAGATGAGTGGCATGGGCTGAATCCAGCACATGGGGTTGGTCTAGGGATGGATCCAGCACAGCGCTGGTCTGCAGATGCAGTCTGGAACACCAGCCTGGTCCCATGTTATCAGATCCAGCCTTATACCAGCTGATTCCTGAGAGTACAGATGCACGGGGCTCCCCACAAGTCTAGAAATTTGATGGCAGGAAAGCAGTATTTAACACTTTTACAGGGGAGATCCATGGGCCAGATGACATGGTTCCATGGGTGAGAAGTTGAGTGCTACCGTGCTAAAATAATCAAATGTCTTGCAATACAATTTGAGACATTGGAGTCGCAATTAAATTATTTGAGCTCCTTAATGTGGGGAGCACTACACAATCAGCCCGAGCAAGGGTGCTCAACCTATAGCCCACAGGCCGAATTTGGTCTGTGGAACCTGTTATCTGGCCTGTGGTGCTCCCAGAGGGGCGAGGAATTTGGGGTCCAGGCAAGTCAGAGTTGGGTCCACCACTGAAACCTGGCGTGCCAAGCCCTGTTGGGAACACAAGTTGGCAGTGGGGGCTGATAAAAGGCTGTGTTAACCCCTTTGGTCACTGCCACTTGGCCTCCTTCCACTGCTGTATCCATATCTGGCCTGCAAGGAGCCCCACAATCTAGATCTAACCTTGAGGACTGAGTAAGTTTGACAACCCTGGGCTAGAGGAACAGTGTATGTGCCTTATTCTGAAGAATAAAACAGGTAGGACACAGAACAAGGTAGTATAGTGGTCCCCAGCCTTCCTGGCCCTGGGCAACAATACTGAGCAAGTAACGTGTTTTGGACAACATCCCTGTAACTCTGTTTTAACTTTTTAATTTTCTCTGGCTATGAGTAGTGCTGGAAGGGGTCTTGGGCAACGTATTGCCAAAAGCTCTGGGTTTGGGGACCACCAAATCTTAAGATTACAACTGGTATAGCAACTCGCATATTCTAATGGGGATAAATGTTTAGTACCAGCTTTCTCCAGACACTTGGCATGTGCACATTTTGCCCTTTATGCTGCCTTTTTTTTTTAAACTATTCAGCTGCATTTCGTTTTTAAGTATTTATGGAAGACATCAATTTATGTTGATGGTGAGATTACCTCAGTAATATAGTGAACAGCTTGATGTTCCCTGGTAACTGGTTAGTTGAATGGGAACAGATGTTAATCAGCTCCTCTGACTGGAAATGGGAACTGTCGAAGAGCAATGAAAAAGTAAACAGAACTAGCTAACTCAATCTTCAGCAATTAATATACTGGGTAAGAAACAAGTTATTTAAATGCATATATAATTATTTTACCATTGTTCACTGGAAGCAGTAGTTGTAATTTCTCTTTCATTAGATTTCCATAAGAAGTCATCAGAATCTTTGACCTTTTCCCGGAACAAGGCAGCAAACATCCTTGCCCTTTTCTGACTTTCCAGCTCTTTTTCTTTGGTCTGCCTATCAACGCTGGTCAAATCAACTACAAAACATTATTTGACATGAATCTACATACCTAGAGAGATTTTAACTGAATCATACTTTGTACATATAGCCATATGTTTCTTCATAAAAAGAATGTACTAAGATATAACACATCTATTTCAAGAAGCCTCAGCAACCACCTTTACAATTTTTATACCAAGATAATGTTATCTAGTTATTGAAATAAACACTGATAAGCTTTTAAATCTGGCCAAGGCAATATTCTAGTTTATCATAGTACAAATGGGCTTTACTTTCACATTTATATGTGAACTCTAGTGGCTAGAGGCAGAGGTTATGAATAAAAGTTCTGGATTCTTTTTCTGGTTAAGCTTACAATTTATTGTGTGAACTTGGCTAAATTTCAGAGTTCACAATCCCTCTATGGTTTTGTTTCCATCAGTAAAAACATGGGTGGATCTAGGATTTTGAAAAGCGGGGTGCCCATGGTGAGGTGCATCATTATATATAACACAACACATTTTTCTCCAGGTAAAAAGAAACTAGAAGCTTTACTAATATGTTAAGGGCCTAGGGAGGTATTATCCCATTTAAGATTGATGTAAAAACAAGTTAACTTTATTGGAATAAGTAAAAAAACAGTCTGCATGGGCTGTGAATAGGAGCTACATTACCAGGAGCTGCTAACAGACAGCAGAATTGCAGAAGAAAGGATAGCTTGGTTTGTGGAACATCAAGACCATTAAGAAGGAGAGAGGGTTATTAACACCTGTGGAATGAAGAGCTTAGAAGGCATCAGGTACATTTTAATGAACCATGAAGTCAATTGACTCCCTCAGTGCTGCCTGACTAGCATGGGTGACTGGTGCCACCTTAGTTGGGGGAGCATGTGCCCCACCAGCAATCAGTCAGCGCCTGGGAGGGGTCCCCTGGTGCCAATCTCACCGAGTGGGGGGCGGGCGTGTCCCACCATGGCCAATCTTGCTGACTGGGAAGCAGCCACGGCACTCCCAGAAGTGACTGCAGCGCTTCATCCGGCACTCCCACTTCCTGGCCAGTGCTCACAGGGGGGGCACTGGCACTCCCGTCCGCCTCCCCCCAACCCATCGCCTAAGCAGGGAGTGTGGCCTGTCAGGGGGTGCACCAGCACTCTCAGGGGGCGTACGTGCACCCTTGTGCACCCCCTACATGTCACCACTGCTGACTAGAAATGCTGCTGCCCCTGCCAAGCAGTTGGTTTTAGACTTTGGGTGGAGCAAGAATTACAGAAGGGTGCACAAAAAAAAAAAAATCTTGCCAATCACATTTTGTAAGATTTTTATTTAAAAAAATACAGAACCCCCCCCCCCCCCCCCCCATTTAAAAAGTGATAATGATAATCAAAAGAAATTATAGCAGTAATTGATTATAGATGCTTTCATCCCAGGGGGAAGAAGAGGACTATATGTAAGTGGAAAGTAGTGGTGGTATGATTTTAATTGGCAATCTATTCTAAGCTTTTCAATATTCAAAAATTCATGTCAAGTTAAAAGAGAATGATTCTTAAGTTCCACATTATGACTTAAAAAACTAACCTTTGTAATGATGTGTAGAATATACTCAACTTTTTAGAAAAAAAAGGTTTCTAGGAAAATAATGACTATGGGTCATGCACAAATTCACTGCACCAACTCTCACTACCTCCTTCATGCCAGAGCCCAGCCCTGTATTCCCTCCAATTCCCTCAGCTGCTAGGTGTCAGCATGCATTTTTTGTGTCCTCTCTCTCCTCCTCCATTTCCAACCATTGTCAACCATTTTCTCCCCTGCTATGGGATCTCTACCCCATACCCACATCTAGGGAGCAAATGGAGGATCCTATCAGGGGTTCTGTGTATTCCTACATTTCTACCTTTGCTGTACCAGAGGCTCTGTATGCCTCCCATTCCCAGTCTCCCCACACAGGTAGGGGCTCTGTGCAAACTTCTTATATCTCCTTTTTTTTCTTGGACCCCCCACCCCCAAGTTCTTATTTTTTCTGTCTGGGGAAATAAATTGTTCAGGGTGACAGGGGTGGGAGTAGGAAGAGTACTGTTACACTAGAACATGCCCCTTCCAACCCTACATCTATGAATGTATGGCTGTCCTCAATTGGTTCTTTGATCCCCAGTTAATTATAAAAGTGGCTAGAAGTGATGATCCTGCTAATCAGGGGGTATGGACTCTGCATGTACCCTATTTTTCTCTTCCAGTTCTCTGATTTCCACCAATATCAATAGGATTCTGCTTATTGATAATGACAGTATGCCTTGAAAATTTGGAACTAATGAGATGAATGATTGAAAAGTAACTGAATTATGTCCTAACAGAAATGCCATTAAACTGAAGGTAGGGTTCCACAAGTTCATCCAACTGTGCTTCACAGAATGGCAAACCGCACTTAAAAACAATTGATCAAGGTTCAGTTAAGAGACTATGACTGACAAGCTGTTCCTTTGACCCTGGCTTTTTTTGTACGAGTCCCTAGGCAGTGTAAGTGGATTACTCCATGAATATAAAGACACAGTAGATCAAGATCACATGTCTTGCCTCCCTCATTTAAGGATTAATTCAGCAAACGTCAAGGGATGAAACAGCACGAGAGCATGTGGTGCTCCCATTACACAGGACTAGAGTGGAGGTGAGAGTCTGGAAATGATGGTGGAGGATATGACACCCTCAGAAATACATCCTAATTTTTCATCAGCTCAAGCAGCCCTTTCCCCTGAGTAGCATGCAAATACCCAGACACACCATCTCCCAGAGCATGCTAGTGCTGAAGATTCAGTAATCTGGAGGGTTTAAAGAAGCTCACAATGTGCTGATTTGCATATTAATGATTGTTCCCTAGCATTTACTAAATGGCAGACAACATCCTGATCACCAGAATTTACGGTTACAAATGGGATGAGGACACAGAGCTTGTCATGGGCATGGTAAATTTTGACAGGCCCCTGGGCTGGTGTCTAGGTAACAGGCTGTTACTTGGTAGGGGAAGATTTTGGTTGGCTTTCATCTTCTGCTGTAGGGTAAAGGCTGTGGCCTTGGACCTTTCTGCTTTGTGCTGGGCTGACTGCCAGCTGTGTGCCCTGGTTTCTAGGCTGGCTGATAGTGTAAGTCCCTGGCCACCAGCCACAGGCTCCGTGTGCAAAGCGAGGTAACTAGGAGGCAGTCTGCCATGACTCCAACCACAGCTGAGGACTGCAGCTGTCAGGGTGCTTAGAGGATGGTGCTCTAAACTAGGGGTTGGTTACCTATGGGCCATGGGCCAGATCCAGCCTGCAAAGATCTAATCCGGCATTGGGGCTTGGTGGCACAGAGCTGCGCTGTTGCCTGTTGCACCACAGAGCTTTCCTTCTCTGTGAAGCCTACTTCTCTGCCGTGTCTGTGCTTACCCTCACTGCAAAGTGGTTGGGGATCAGTAGTGATGGTGGGCACAGGTAGCTGGCTGCTGGCAGTACCCTGCTCTAGACTCTCTCTGTGGCTAGACACCCTAGTTCGGAGCGTACTAATGAAAGAGATGGTGCTGTCCAGAGAAGCCCCAGCATAGGCTGTATCCTGACTCTTATCTGTTGGTCTCCCTGCGAGGAGCCCTCGGGTGCTGCACAAAGCTGTTGTCGCTGAGCTCGTGTGTTAAAGCGGCTGCAGGATGGGAGCTTTGCAACCTTCTGGAGCCTGCCGTGAGAATAAATGTTTTCCTGACCAAAGGGGGTGGGGATTGGTTCCTTCCAAGGACATGCAAAGAGGTCATTCCAGAGCAAGCAACGTGGCTTGTGTTCATGTTCGAGCTCCCAGCCAAACCAGGAGCAAAGATCACTGCAGGACAAATCAGCAGCTCCAGGTAAGCTAACTTGTCCAAACTGCTCTTTGTATTTCTCTCTACCATTAGATTATGGACTAGATCCATTCCCTGGGTGTCTCTGCCAAAGATGCCAGATACACCAGGAAGGCACGTGGGACTCTGAGTTTGGATTATTATGATGATGGACAGAGTCTGCACTGTTTTGGTGTTTGTCTCTTTCCCACTGTATTTTGTATAGTAATCAAATCTATTGATCTGTTCCCTAGCCGGGGTCACTAGGGCACAGCTATCCTGGTAATGGGGATTGATTGCCCTGGTCTTTGTCTACGGACAGGTTTGGGCCCTCTGGGAGACAAGAGCTAGGGTTGCTGTTATGCTTTTTTTGGTCTGGATTAAAGCTGTTCCCATGGGGTAAACCCTGCATCCTATAAAAGGGGAACTGAACAGGGAACATACCATTCAGGAACAGAGACTGTTGCTTTCCTTGGCAAATTAACAGCTTTCCACCCTGGATATAAGGAGGCAAAGGGACTGTTTGCAGGAGGGCGGCTCAGTCATTGCTTACCTGGGGCAGAAAGTTTCAGAGCACACAGAACAGGAATACGAGTAGGTGCAAAACTAAGCAAATGGAAACATAGTTCTTACCTTGCAAAGAAGGATGGAAGAGGAGGACCGCAACAAATACCATTTCTTAAAGTTAATTGTGCCACACATCGCCATTTCCATTACTGCTAATTAATTGTTCTAATTGTAAGTCAGCCTTTTTTGTTTTCCTCCTCCAAAAGAACCTAACTTTCAGTCTGGCCCCTGACAGTCTTGACATTTGCCATTGCAATATTTTTATGCATAGACTACAAATACCACATCAAATTTTTTTTCAGTGCTGTTTTAATTTTACTTTTAGTATGGACAACCCTTTTGGGAGCTTTCCTTGACTATTTGATTCTCCTGTGGGATTATGCAAGAGCAATAGTTTAAAGACTTTATCTGTATCAACTGAGTGAAATTCTGACTGACTGAAGAGGGGACGGGTGAAGAAGCTTTTTTTTTTTTCCAAAATGGAGCCTGAAAATAAGGGATTTACTTATTTATGCAAGGTCATTATTTCTTATACTGCAGCACTAATGTGCTCAAGGAAACTGTGACGCAAGAGGTTATTAAAATAAAATATAGCTCAGATTAATTTAAAGGCACTTAACAATTATCTATCGGTATCTAAATCCCGTTCAGTAAAATCTGTAAATTAGAAATAACTTAGGAAAATAAATAATTTAATGCAATCCATTTTATTTTTTATGATCATATTTGATACTTACCATAAAAATCTGCAGGGTTGCTGTATTTTGGGCAGGGATAACCCAATTCTGTAAAATACTGGACCATGTCTCTGGCTGTTCCAGAGTAGATGGTGACTCCAGAAGTCATCAGAAGGACTAAGTCAAAGAGCTGGAAGATGTCTGATCGAGGCTGATGAATTGAAAGAAGAACTAATCTGTTTCCTCTTGCTAGTCTGGAGAGTGTTACCACAAGGTTATGTGCGGTAAAACTGTCTAGTCCAGATGTAGGTTCATCAAGAATTAGTATTCCTGGAAGAGATAATATATGGTGTTTAGTTGTGGAAAGCACTCAATTTGATCTCGTGTTGCAAGTTAAATGGCCCTGGTATATGGAAACTTACTGATGCAATGTACAAAATTATTTTCCAAAGCATATTTTCATACCAAAAGTCAAATATTTGTTAATGGGAATCTCCCCTTTTAAAAATATTTTCTATTCTCCATTCAGCTCTTATCCTGCTTCCACTGATATCAATAGGAGTTTTATTATTGACCTTAAATAGGCACAAATTCAGGCCCTGTATTTAAAACCTTCCAACATTTTCCTTCTTGATTCTTTACTCCTCAGCTGGATATAACAAGTACAAGAGCACACAATAGCTATAGTTTTGTATCTCTGTATGCATGTTAACTGAAATGTAGGTTTGGTGAGTTTAGAGCATGATGCAATTCTTTAACTCTCAGTGTTCAGATTATTTGCATTATTCAGGTGCAAGGATTAATAGTAAAACTTGCCAAATCAAATCATTAATATATTTTCAGAGTACAAAAGTGAAGAGGAGAAATTTTATTTTTAATATTTTACTGCATGTTTTTGCATGGCTTGATGTGATTTTTGTTTATTATTGCAGTTGGTTGTTAAAACCTGAGACAGGTAACGCCAAACAGGTTGAGACTTAATACATTTTAACATTTATGTTATAAAACTACTGGCCTAGATGTCCCTGTCAAAATGAGGAACAAAATATGGTTCCTGCTTTGGAGAGCTTACTCAGAATAGAGATGAAGTGCCAAGGAGTATTTTTATCTTTCCATTTTTGCCCTAGAAGTGGGGACTTGTGCTCATCTCCAACACAGCTTTTTTTCAGGAGTAGCACTTCCTCCAAAAAATGATTTCTGCCTTCCCCAAAATTGTGAAAAAGTGGCTTTACCTGCACTAGGAAGTTGTAACTTTACTAGTAGGAGCTATAGGTTGTATTACTACCATGTCAGCAGGATAAGGTAACACGGGGTAGTTTTCTCTGTACTACAGTTTCCATTGCATGAGGCCCAAGCTGTTGGTAATAGAAGTCTGAAAAATCCTAGTATAGCCACAGTTGCTAAGATTACAGTCTGAAGCCCCAGTCCTAAAGATTGCTACTCCTTTACGTAAACTTAGTCGCACAAGTAGCTTAGCTGAAACCAGAAGTGATACTAGTGTGTGAGAGTTTGAAAGATTGGACACTCAATGCTAGGAAAATGATCATGGGGCATCAGTTTTATTCCTGCTCCTATTAAAGTTAAAAACAAAAATTGTTTTGGTAATGTCAGTGGGAGCAGGCGGGGTAAATGAACAGAGGTTGGAGTTGTGACGAACATGGAGGCTTGAAAATGACCTGCCCCCCAGCATCTCAAATGTAAATAGCTACCATTGCTATAGCAAGGAATTAAAAAATAATTGCTTAGAAAAGCCTCAGCCTCACAGATTTGTGGTTTAATTAAAATGAACATTATTATGCTCACCAGGATTCCATAGCAACTGCACTCCGATGCTTACTCTTCGCCTCTCTCCTCCTGAAACACCACGAATGTACTCATTCCCTACTCTGGTGTTTGCACACTGTCGTAACCGCAGTTCTGCTATAACATCTTCTACCTGGAGGTTAAATGATACAGCAAGAGTCAGTTGTTTCAACATGAACTATAGTTTACAGATAACCTCAAAAATATATTTTGGGCTTTAATTGTCATTCAGATATCACTGCCCTCTCTGATCAATAGCTATTTAAGACTGAACCTTGCTTTTTCTCAGATAGTGTTAAAAAAAAAATCTCAAAATCTGGTTCTTTTTTCAGGTTTTCTTCCAAAATTGGCCATTTTTGCTACAAATACAAATTGAGACTGGGAACAAATGATATTCAAACTTACAACCAAAAACTGACAAATCAGGATTTGTAATTACTAACCCACACAAAAATGCCAGGTTCAGTGTTGTTGCTCTTACCCGAATGCACATAATTACTTGGGCAATTTTGTCATATATTTTTTGACAACTTTCTTTTTTCCAACCGCTTTAATTACCCTTTTTTCCCTTTGTGAATCCGAAAAAAACCTTGGAAGACGTAGTTTTGCAACAAACAGCAACGTTTCTCTGACAGTCAGGTTGGGAAGCAGTCGATCATCCTGTCGCACATGTGCAACGCATTTCTTAACAAGCTGGTGAGTACTGGGCTTTCCATTGATTATGATTTGGCCAGATTGAATCTTCCCTCCATGATCCCTGCAGGTTATCACATCAAGTAAAGATGTCTTTCCACAGCCTAGAAAAATCATCATCAAAAGGTTAAAAATCTCTATGGATCGCATTCTGGAGTTGGTCTTTCCATTTACAAAAACGAAGCTACCACATTTTCTAACATACCACATGCTTCCAAATAGTATGTTTGGAAGCCAGAATGTAGAGAAAAAGATTTTTCCGGATTATGGTCAATTTTGTAAGTCCTCCTGGAAACACAGGATTTGTGTCCAGGAAGTGTGACAACCCAGGAGACAATCTGGGTGAAGCAGCAGGAACTTCCTGGTGTAGCAGGACAGCAATAAACCTAGAACCCAGACCCTCGCAAGGGCAGTAGGAAGACTGTTACTCCTTTGCAGTAAATAAGTCCTTATATAAATTCCTATAAATAATACTGTTGTTTTCACACCACCGGTCTCATCAACATACTACAGACTGCATGCAGCATCTCACTTGCCTTGAGCCAACTCAGTTGCTCTTCAGACAAAGCTACAGAGCTCAGCTAATAGCTATGGCTGTGAGAGGGTTAACACTGGACTCTGCCCCTTCTGCTTGGTGGGGCCAGAGACCAGTGGCTGAAGCCACAGTGAGAATAAATATTTTACTGAGCAAAGGGGGCACGGGGAGTTGGCTCCTTCCAAGGACACCCAAAGAGGTAATTCCAGAGCAATGTAGCTTGTGCTCATGCTAGAACAGTAACCATCTTGGCAGCCTTTAGCACCCAGTGTCAGTATACTTCTATTCCAGTGGCAGGGAAAAAAGTCAGCTTTCCTGATTAAGACAGGCACCCCAGCTTTGGAGGGATGATTTTTTGGGGGGGGAAAGATGAGTCTGGTATGCTAGTAAATATGGTAAACATCTTTGCTGAACTTATGCATTCATATTACACTCTGCATATACACCCCGCTCACACCAAACCCTCACTACAGCATACTCCAGAAACATAAAAGTAGGGTAGTCAGTGACAGTCAAAGCTTCAGAGTTGCTATTGCAAGTTCAGATTCAGCAAATGTATGTTTCCAAACACAGAGGGAACAACTGGAGTAGAGCATTACCAGACTAACCATTCATTTAGAAATGATCTTGTAGGCATGTCTTTCTCCTGAAAAGACCACACTGGGGCTTGTTGCAGTAAAGCACAACATGCCTGCTTTGTTGGCATTGCACGCCAAAAGGATGTCACATAGCCGTCCTTATTGTGGTTCTGTGTGCACTGCAAAAAGCACTGTATTATGGGCATGCTTATTACTGAGTGCCCAGTACTACACTGAAGGTGACTATATATTGCATCTTTGTGGGATGTAGCATGTGCAGAACAGGCATGCTGTGCATCACTGTGGTGGTCCCTCTCCCATGGTACTTTGACTGTATAGAGAAGATGCAACTGGGTGCCAAAGACAGTTGACACCTTCAGACCCTAAACCCTTTGCCATCAGAGCAAAGTTACAGACTTAAGTTTATTGTATTAGTAAACATGCCAATTTTTAGGTGACTGTGGCCTCAAGCCTACAGTGAGCTTGAAAACTCAGGCCCTGATTCAGCAAAATGCTTAAGGACATGTTTAACTTTAAACATAGTAATAGTCCCACTGGCATCAGTGGAGGTCTGTTTGGGCACAGACTCTGCACTAATATACCTGACACAAAAGACTGCTCGCCATGAGTAGAGTGTCTAGGTGCTATGATAATATCAATAAGTATTAAAAGTAAAATATTACAAATAAATGCCTTGCTCACATTTAGGGGGAGCAAAATTGAAGAATGGGAGCAAATCCAGGTTTGGAATTAAATAACAAAAGGGTTTGCTCTCATTCTGTGTGATACAGTAGGCAAGGGCGTGCAGAGTTCCATCATCATCATTGTTGTTGTTTTAAATTTATTGCCAGTCTTGTTAAAAACTTCATGCTTGGGGTTTTGGAGGTTGCTTTTTAATGTAGAATTTTCTTTAAAAAATGGATGCCAGCCATCTGCAAGCTATATACCATCCACTTATGACTGACACATTGATCACCACAGAGAAAGGAAGAAAACCACCAGCAATTTGATCCATTTCACCAAAGCATTTGATAAAGTAGTTAATAAACTATATTTTAAAAAGCTCTCTAAACCAGGTTTCCTGAATGGGGTTTATGTTCAGTGTAAGTTACCTTAACAAATATACTGCAATGTAAGATGTTATTCCATCAAAACCTCTGCCTTTTATCAGTGTGATCCCCAGGGTAAAACTTCAATTTCATTGCTCCTTATTCTAGTTTTTTATTTACTTATTTCAGCATATTTCCTGAATTGAAAAAAACATCTTTCTTCTGTAAAGATGCTGGTTAAAATAGATTTGCACTGATTTTCCCAGGTGGTCATTTCCATTGCTGAACAGATTACCTGTATATTTTGGCTAAGTAATAAAGGCCCACGATCTAATTTTGTTGACATAAAGACTCTTCTGTGACACACTTGGCTCCCATCTTTGCTCTCCAAAGGTGTGGATTTTACATCAGGATAGCTAAATCCCAGGAGACATAAGGCATGGATTTGTTTTTCACCTCTATAGCCATACAAAGTCAATTTCGACTTACTACCTCTAGAGGTAAAGCTTACCATGGGTTGTCTTTATTAGGGCAACCTGAGAAAGCAGAACCCAATAGAAAAGTTCACCAGCCCCCACAATCAGAAAAGGAGGTGATGGTGAGGGGGAGGTAGGTAGGAAGTGGAAAACATTTAACAGACAAACCACACTGTGGTGGAATTGCTTCCTTTCTTCAGGGGTGTACTTGGTACTTGGACAATTTTCTTGCCATTTTCCAGTTGGTCTAATAAAAGGTATCATTTTGGAACCAAGAGTTCTAGTTTTTTGTATTCCTTTCTTCATGTATTTTCCATTAAGCTCATCTGAATTTACTGCCATACTCTGCAAAAGTATCTGTCTCTGAGTGGAATTCAGCCTGTGGATGTGAGGCAATGGTACTGCTACTACTCATTCTCAGGGTTTGACTAGGATTAGGGTACATATGTAATCAGGTCAGGGCTGGTACTTTCCCATTCTTCCCATTGAGCTGGGTCAGGCAGTTCAAGTTTCCTTCACTGCAGGCACCTTGCACTTGTTACAGGCAGATTCAGGAAATCTGGCCCCCAAACTCTAGTGGTAAAAAAAACCCATTCACAAAGAAACAGTTGGTAAACAAAAATACAAATCAAAACAGAAGTTCTTGATCAAACTGTCTTCTGCCATGGGACCCATGTGCTCATGCCTTATTGATTTATAACACCTGCTGCTAAGGAATGGGTTTTTTTAGATGAGCTGCGTTACATGTCCTTTGGCATCCAGGGGACTGAAAATTATTGCTATCAGCTATTGTACACTTGATGGTAAAGACATGGTCAATATGGTAAAGCTTTCAGTCCTACCAGAGCTTCCTATAATAGCTATCATCTGACCGCTTTGAACTTTAAAATTCAGATTCTGGATTGCTGACACATGAGAATCTGGGCCTCTGCTCCATGTCCATGGCATTTTCAATTCTGCTATGTTCTCATACCAGGGAATCTGAGCTGCCACATTAACCTAATGAAAAAAATTAAATACAAGAAAATAAGCATTCCATTCAAAAAGGTAGTACCATCACAACACAGCCTTTCAAAGTTAAGATAATGCAAACTGATAAATGAATGGGAGTAGCTGCCACCAACTGGATGCACATTTCCGAAGATGGGTGTTAGCAAATTCCTTTTTATAGCCACCTATGTTTCCATCTTTTTTCTGTTATAACTGTTGATTACCAAACCTATTTCTTTCAATATATTTCTATCAAGCACCTGATCATCATTGCATTTGGTAGAGCTGGCCGGAAATATTTTGTCAGCTCTAATCTGAAAACAATCAAAAGTGAAAATAAAAGATAATGCATATTATCTGAACAGGAATGCAAATACTGTCCAGCTATTTATGTTACACCTCATATGCACAGGCCTTTAAGTCTTTGCAAAAAATGTATTTTTGCTTGCTAAAGCAAAAGGCCCAGTTCTTGAGAACTGCTCTAGCTTTTTGCAGCTCTTTGGTACAAAGCAGATAGAAATCTTAAATAGCTCCCTGAGGAATCTTTTTATGCATGTCACACTATCAGTTCCCAGTCTGGGGTGCGTTTCTGAGAGAGAGGGGATATAACTTAGGCTCTCGTGCAACTTGACGCCCATCTATCAGAATAGCCTCTTGGACCTATTTGGAGGAGCTCAGAGCCTACTCAAGATCAGAAGAGCACAAATGTAGCTGAGATACACTTTTTGCCTGTTATCACCCAACCCATTGCTGTGCCAAATATGTCTTCTGCGACAGACCAGCCTACTATTTCAGAGCAGCTAAAGGCCTGATTCTGTACCCAAAACTTCCATAGCTTCAATGATGTTTCTTTTATAGTAATTGCAAAGCCTCTGTGTGTATTTTGATTCCTCATTATCTTTTTAGCGTGTCTTAAATGTTACAAGCAGAAAATGATTGAATACATGCCATAGTAAATAAAGATAAATAAAGCCAGCCTTGTACCTGATAGTTGAGTTCGTTGACCTCTAGAATGTTTGATTCACCACTGTACGTGAAATACAGACTGCTATCTTCATCTGAGTAAAAAATAGTGTCTTGGAACTTCATCGTTGCCTGGAGGAATTGTTATTAGAAAGTTAATTAAAACTCCTGTAGTTCTTACACCCGATATCCTGATCACATATCTTTCAGAGTCTGTGTTCTCCCATAAGCCAGGGGCTCACCTTTACCCAGTTCAAACATACATACATACATATTATATATATGTATATATAGGCAGACAAGGTTCTTTGGGTAAATCAGATATCTTTTATTAAGCCAACACAAATATTTGAGTTGCTCTAAAAAAAAATATCAGATTTACCCAAAGAACCTTGTCTGCCTATGTCTTTAGACCAACACGGCTACAACCCCCTTGTAAGACGCACAGACACCAGCCTCTTCCTCTCTCAAAACTTCGCTCTCCAAGTCCCTTCATTTTTCCTCATTCTGGGCAATACTACCTTATTCCTCTCCCTTCCCTATGGCTGTGACATAAATACTACAAAAACCTCCAACGTTCTTCATAGCTTGTGTAATCAATTTTGTAGTGAAACTGTTTCAAACAGAAGCAATTTCTAACAGAAATATACAGTAAACGGCCACTTCTCTACACTGATGCACCTCTACCCCTGGTCAGCAAATGCTTCCGCTAGATTCTCCTGAGAGCGCTAATCTAGGTCATGTGGGAGGCATCAGCCTGTGGCACAGGGGTGGGCAAAATGCGGCCCGCGGGCCAGATGCAGCCCACCAGGCCATTCTATCTGGCCCACAGGGCCCCTCAAAAAATTAGAAAATTAATAGTTATTTGCCCCTGTCTGACTGTCATGCAGCCCTCGATGGCTTGCCTAAACTCAGTAAGTGGCTCTCCGCCCAAAATAATTGCTCGCCCCTGCTGTAGCATCTGAGCGGTTCTTGCAATGGATTGATCCTGACAGCATTCCTGGGTGATGTGGGAATCTGATCATCTCCATTTTACAGAGGAGGAAATAAGAGATTGATTTGCATATTTTCAAACACAATGTCTAAGACAAAACCCAAAAGAGAATTCAGATTTTCTGTGTTATGGTCTGCTGCTTTCACCACAAGACCATCTTGCTTCTCCAAGGGCTGGATACTGTTGTCATACCACATTCACATGCAAATAGAGGGTATTGTGTGGCAAGTACAGTTTTCTCCTGAATCGTTTGCAGTGATTTCCCTCACTTTCCACATGAGCTGTATTTACCTGATCTGCAGCCTGGCTCCCAGTGGCACATTCCAATAAGACATTTTCAGACATGTCTTCTTTCTTGGTTGGTAGATGTTTCTCTCTCTCCTTCCGTCACGTTTTCTTTTCTGGTTTTAAATACTATGCTTGCTGCACAAATCCTTCTTCTCTTGGTTTTTCAGTTAACCCAAACCCTTCAACATAGTAATATATCCACTGTCTCTCCTGGCACGCTGGCTCTGTCTCATTGACATGTCTTTGTAGATGCGGAAATGTTCTCCTTTTCTGGGACAATAAAACTCAGGCTAAAGGTTCATCAGATAATAGTTACAGCTAATCATCTGTCTACTGCTCTACAGAAAGAGAAAGAAAGAGCAAACTGACCGCTAAAAAGTTTTTCTATCCTAGGTGACAGCCATGGGGAGCAGAAGGTAGGGTCCAAATTAATTCTAGGACCAGTAACAGACAGAAGTTGTTCCTTTTACATTCCTAGGTTGACTCAACAGTATTGACCCAGATTAACTGATTTTCCAGCAGTTCGTGAGGGTGATTACAAGTAAGAAGGCTGCTTATGAATAAGGAGAACCATACATTTCAAAGTCTACTGAGATGGACAGGGGCATCTGCAGTTCTCAAGCAGAAGAAAGGAAATCTGCTGTGACATCATATAACAATAGTGTCAGCCTCCAAGGGGTCTCCTATACTGTCAGGTAAGGTACTGAAGACCCGTTGTGTGAGCTGAGACTTTGAAACAGCACTAATCCCTGGGGCCACAGGAATAATGGAAGACTTCCTTTAATTTATAAAATAGTAGTAACATGGAAACAATTTGAAGCCAGTTTGAATCAAACGAAGATGCCAAGGATGAATTAGCTCTACTTGTTTTATACTTAGAATATATTTCTCTGAGGATAAAGAGTGGTTTTGATTTCTGAAGAATTAACAGCTTATTTTTTACAGGAGAATTCCAAAAAAATTGCACATTTTCTTCTGCTTTGTGGTGGATAATGAAAACTTGAAAGGGTTGTCATTTCTTTCATTTTCCTTGGGGGTTTTTCTGCATGTGTTTGAAATTCAGGTCTCATCTAGGCTGGAAGACAAGCAATGACTACAGAGGTAGCAAATTGGTGATAGGTTCAAGAGAAAATGAGCTACTGGGAGGGGAAGAGGTTTTTAGTCAGACTGTTAAACACTTTATATTTGTTTGTTTTTAATTAAATAGCTTTTATTTAATTTAAATGGTTTGTTAACATGTAATAAACAAAACCTTAAAGATCCCCCTTTCAATTATGATGGCAAGAATTCACAATAAGAATCGCTGATGCCTTAGTGGTTCTCTTGTAAAACTAGGTTGGACCAGCTTTACCTTCCTTAAGTGACTAAGGTAAAGAGTGAGTGGAAAAGAAAATATGTTTTAACATTAAAAACCTTTCAGATCTTCATTGCGCTTCATTACACCTTATAAAGAAGCATAAAAAGGGACCAGGCCATTTTTTTTAAAGCCCCTTTTTTTTAAAGCCCCATCCTTCAGATGCAAGAGGCAAGGATTTGCGTGGGAGATGTTTTTTATTGGACTGACTGTATAGTTGGAAGGGATATAAACACATTTTCCAATACTAAGTACCCTTCCTCAAGTCTAAGAGATTCAAAAGCTTGTTTATTTCCCACACGGCCACAACGTCACCCCAATGCTACCACTTCTTTAGATGTAATTTTCAGTTTCCCCAAATGCCGCACCTAATCCTTTTTAACCTCTTCTTTTAAAGAGAGCGTATTGGGCCTTGGTGGGATATCCCGTCCTACCGTAAGAAATGGTCGCGACAGATCCTCAAAAATGTCTCATTTCACATAGAGAGCGGCCAGATAATGGGGATTTTGGGAAACTCTGGTAAGTAGTTCATAAACTCTGAGTCCAGAAAAATACTGCTTTAAAAAATTAAAAAGAAAAACCTGTCACTACCTAGCTCTGTAAATGTTACAGATTGCTCTCAATGTGGATAGTTCTTTGACAACACCCCGGGGACATGATTGTCCTTCTAATGCTGGGTTAATGATGTAAATTTGAGGTGCTCAATGTCCTTCTAATGCTGGGTTAATGATGTAAATCAGAGGTGCTCACCCTCTGGCCTGCGAGCCAAAATACAGACTGTGAAGCCTTGGAATCCAGCCCACAGTTAATACTGCCACCCCTCCCCACTGCCAAAACCCCAAGCCGTGCATGGTGGGTCAGAGCCAGGCCATGCCCTCTCTCCCTGAAAAGCTAGATTGGGGCTGGACCATGCCTCCTCCTCCTGCACAGTTGGTATGGGCTGGCCCACACCCCGTCCCCATCCTCCACATGGTTGGATTGGGGCCAGGCTGCCCCTTGCTCCCCTCTGCATGGCACGATGTGTCCATGCTGCATCCGCCCTGCCCCGCATTGGGACTGCCAGCTGGATTTGGCTTGCAGAGAGACCAGGCACTGCCCATCTGGCCCACTGGACAAAAAGGTTGAGCACCACTGATGTAGACTAACAATTTGCTCTGTAACTGAAATCAGCTGAAACCAGGCTCCCAGTGTGCAGTGTCTTATGAATGGTCCTCTGAGTTTGTAAGGACTGCTGGAGCACATTTCCAGCAGTGCGCTACCCTTGACACTGTCTCCTCCTGCCACCGTCAGTGAAGGGTTTGAGGGAGTGCTGGTATAGTACTCCCGATTCTGGCTTTCTACCAGCTCTGGATTCTCAGGCTGGAAAGTTTCAAGGTCCCTCTGTGCTGCGCCAGTGACTTTAGCAGGCCCAAGACTGCCCTAAAGATTTGTATTTGTATCATGGAAATGTTGTGGACTCTTATCAAAGATGTTCTAGAGCAGGGATTGGCAACCTATGGCTCATGGATCCGCGCAGCTTCTGTGGCATTCGGTGGACAGGGGGCACAAGCTACAGGCACTCTCCCCATGCTTCTGTGGGGAGAAGCGCTGGCTGCAGGTGTTTCCCCAAACAGCTGGGGGCCTGCAGCTGGAAAAGGTTGCCTACCCCTGACAGCAAATAAATAAATAAATACATAGTTGTATTTAATAGCATTCATGGCCATTTTCACTGACACCGTTCAAAAAATAGCATCTGGTTTTCAGTTTCCTCTAGTCCTTGGTAACTTATAGTTTCAGTGTCAAATTCACCCAAGTTTTTCAGCCTTTTAAATTTGTCACTGTGATTTCTGTGGCTAACATACTGTCCATTTACTTATCTTGGGTGAAATTCACCCCTCTGCAGAGGGCCAGCCTCGAGCTTATGAAACATGTAAAGTCTGCTTGCCTTATTTTGGGCTCATAAGTGTTGCACAGATCTTCTGCTGCCCTTGAATTATGACCTCTCTGTTTCTCTGGTCTTCCTCCTGCATTCCAAAAGCAATTCAACTTCTTTGTCCTCTGTTCAGCTCTGTTCCTGTCTATGTCGATGCTGCCTTCTTTTACTATTTCTCCTTTCCCTCGCTGTGCTTCTTGACCTGTCTGATGCATTGCTGCTTTGAAAACCTTGTCCATCTCTTACTCTTTATAACTTTTCCCATGCTCTCTCTTATTCTTATTCCTGTCCCTAGTATCAAAAGTGATCTTTCTTTTTTAAAATTTTTCCTCAAAAAGTATTTCTTCCATGAAACCTACAGTCTGCCTATAAAAATGTCCTGTATGAAATTTGCTTCCTGCTCTGGTCAGAGCTAGTTCTAGTCACTCATCCTTGTACCAACACCTTTGTCTTTGTATTTAGATGTTTATAGTTCATAGGTCAGAACCTGTCTTCCTCTAGTATGTGCAGGTTAAGGATAATAAGAACACTTAACAAATAATGAGGAATAAATACTATTCTACACAGCCTGTATCAATCCCTTCAACTCCTCTAGGCTGCCTTTTTGGAACCCAAGTTCACACCTTTTTTAGTGACTGTGTGCGGCACAACAGAGCCAGTGCCCCTGACCAAGGCCATTAGATACTTTTGTGAGACATAATAATAATGTAAATGATTGTTTTAAATTGTCTAAAAGGATCTGGGAAAACAACCCTGCTGGATGCAATATCAGGAAGACTGAGGCATAAAGGAAGCTTCTTTGGTGAAGTGTATGTGAATGGGAGTGAGCTGAAGAAGGATCAATTTAAGGACTGCTTCTCTTACGTGCCACAGGTGGTTTTGAAAATCATTTTGTATGCATGCTGTGTTTTTTGTTATCGTAAACTTGTAATAAAAGCAGTGTAGACAAATGGCCCAATTACAACGGTGTTAATTCTGATGTACAGGGAGTTGCTCTGTATAAGTCAATGGAATTATGCTGGTGTAAGATAGACATGAGGACTCAGTCAAACCCATAGTTATTATGATAGTAATATTTGGCTACTCTTTTACTTTTTCAGAATGATGCCTTGTTAAGCTATCTCACTGTACAAGAATCTTTGACTTACACAGCTTTACTTGCACTTCAGAAGCACTCCAGTGACTTTATCAAAAAGAAGGTTTGTATGTTTGTTTTTCCTCTCCAGGCTTTCCAGATGAGTCCAGCAAATTATGAAATTTGGATATTTAGATGCTTACCCTTTAGCAGTTCATTTTATGCCCTTCCATGCTCTGCCCATCAGTAACACTTTCATTTGTTGATCTTGCGGCACTTTACAAAGGAAAGGAAGTAACATTATTTCCATTTTAGAAATGAAGGGATAGGTATCTGTTGGTGAGTGGAGTTGCTAAAGCTCCCACAGAATTTCTTTAACCAAATAATTCCAGTTCCCTGATTCTCCTGTCCCCTAGACTGTGCTGCCATCTAGGGAAAAAGGGAACAACCTGGAATGAGATGTGCATTTCTGGAGCAGTAACAATTGCTACCTGTCACACAGGAAAATGGATTGGATGGGATATAAAAGTCAGAGGTCTGGTCCCAAATGAACCTACTTACTGTAAGGAATTTCAGCTGCTATTTTTTTTTTTTTTGCATAGTCCTGAGTGACAGAGGACTTAATCCTGTACCAGGTGCAGAATGTAGCCTAAGTAGACCAATAACATGAATAGAGACTGCACTGGAAGACCCAGTGGGAAAGTCTGGCTAGGTTAACTTCATGACATAACCTTTGCATATTTACTTCCTAAAGCTACAGCTGCCTGCAGAAAGATGAATTTTGCTGTATGCCCTAAAAGTAGCAAGATTTGGATTCAGCCAGTTTTTCTGGTTGAAGCAGCTTACACCAGCAGTTAAGTGGCTGCTGCTCAGGTGTGGTGTGGCATGTGGAAGTTCATGAAACTGTGTGTGAGAGGGCAGCTACCATGGTGGTGACTATACAAAAAAGTTTGCCCCTTAGGAAGGAGGGAGCCCCTTTTTCTGGGAGCCATCATCTATTTAGAGTAAAGTCTGTACTTCTTACTGAAAATATTAAGTTTGCTTGAGGAGGCTGCAGAAGCTGGTCCTTTGTTAATGAAACATAACATCCTGGTTCTTCAAAGTTCTCCAGTATGGTTTTCTTTATATCAAAGCCTCTTGCTTGTTTTGAGGCCCCGTTACATTTCCCACTGTTCTGGCCATGTGGATGAAAGTTGGGCCTGTAGGGTGTCTATACACGTGCAGTGAGGCTGCTCTAACGTGCTGTAATTATAGCACGTCGGAGTATACTCAGTTAATCCACTCCAGCAGACTCCAGCGTCACATGTATCAGCATCCCTTTGCTGAAAAATGGCAGTAGGGGCACTTTAATGAGCTTTAGTTAAAGTGCCCCCACCTCCATTTTTCAGTGTAGGGATGCTGATACATGTGACACTCTGGGCAATTTTATTAGAGAGGCTCTTGGAGCCACTCTAATTAAAAGTCCCCTTTGCACCCACTTCCGGAACATGTGTATAAATGCCCATAGAGTCTAGCTTCACCAAAATCAAATGAAAAGACATTACTCCAGCATACTTGAAGCCTCCTGTAATAAGAGTCTTCAGTGTTAGTGGACAGGTAGAAACATCTTCCTTATTGACAGTTCCTGGAGCACTTCTACATGTGCTCCGACATGCTCTGATTAGAAGGCATCAGAGTAGACTCAATTAATCAAGTCAGCTGGAGCGTTCTGATTGGAGCATTCTGATTGGAGCGTTCAACAAGCTTTAGTTAAAGCAGCCCTGCCGCCATGTTAAAATGCAGGATGATGAATATACAAGATTCTCCCAAGAGCTGCTCTAATTAAAATGCCTCCTACCCCCCACCCTGGAGTGCATGTATAGGTGCCCTTTCTAACTTTCTGCCACCACCTACCTTAAAGTCTTCTTCCCTAGAACTTCTGTTTCTTACCTGTTTTTTAACCTTTTTGGAAGGCAGATCAACATGCTTACCCCTGCCATTTCAGCCTCTCCCAGGCAGTCTGCACCTGTCATCCCTTAAAGTCACTAAAAATACAAATGATGTATTGTGATATGGAATAAAAGTGAGGCCACATTACTGTGAATATCTTTAATTGAAAATGAGTATAGGTATTATAGGGGTGCCCTTTAGAATGGTAGAGATTTCCTCACCGTTTTTAACATAGTGTGCAAGTGTGCCCGCACAGTGGGCAGTGAATGTTACTCATGTTCTTTCTAACCTGTACTTGTTTTGCAGGTAGATGCTGCTATGGCCGAGCTAAGTATCAGCCATGTTGCTCATAGTATAATTGGAAGCCGTGTCTTTAGGGGAATTTGTGGTGGTGAGAGGCGTCGTGTTTCAATTGCAGCCCAGCTTTTACAAGATCCCAGTGAGTAGTTTCTCAGACTAGAACTAAAACATTGCCCTTTTTATTACACGGTCACTTCATGCACACTAACAGCACCCACTGTTTTACAGACGTTTAAAATACAGGAGCACTTTTTTCTGCTACAGTTCAGAGCTCCAAACTCCCATTGCCTTCAGTTTGCAGCCTTGTTGCACGGTCAGTTAGAACTATCACTAAGCCATTAGCTGAGTAGAATTCCCACTTCCACCCCTTACATATTAGGCAACCCTGGGAAAATCACTAAGGGTGCCTATACATGTGCTCAGGGGTGGGGAGAGGCCATTTTAATTAGAGCAGTTCCTCAACAGCTGTTCTAATTAAAATGGCTCACTGTCACTTGTATTAAGCTTCCCTTCTCCCCTCCCCCAACACATATACACATTTTAAAATGGCCACAGGGGTGTTTTAACTAAAGCTCATTTGATGAGCTTTAGTAAAAATGCCCCTGCAACCATTTTAAAAGGGGGGGGGAATTAATACACATGACGATGAGACAACTCATATGCAGTCCAATTAGAACACAAATGAGCACATCTATAGGCAGCCTTAGGCCCCAATAGGAAACTGTAAGAAAAGGCTTAGATGCTAGCAATTTAAGCACATGCTCAACTTTGTGTGTTTGTTTCCCCTTTATTAACCATAGGAGTAATAAAACTTGCTCATCTTAGAGGGCTGCTATGGGGATTAAGTTGTTGTTTGTTCAGCGCTTTGAAAAAAAAGTGCTAAGAATTATTGTATGTTGTTTTTACTGAGTCCTAGATATTTATTTAGATTCACTATAGAGCCAAAAAGCAGCATATACACAAGCTGTACTTGTCTCGACAATACTTAAATCCACATCTAACTGGAATAACTCCCCAGGAACATAAGAACTATCACAAGCAAAGTAAAATAACTAATGTCATAAATTAAGTGGCCCAGGAAGTCATGTGTACCCTACTTATAACACATGCAGATATTCAAGAACTGGTATCTTGTGTCCATTACTTTCTTAGAAAGTTTTGTAAAGAAACTTAAGATTTTTGTTAGGTATTACAATGTCCCTTTTAAATATCTAAGTTAACTTAATTCAAAGAATCAGCATTTGTAGATTTAGTGATGTTAATTCAGCCAGTCAAGAAATAGGATTGGTATTTCTCCTGATAAAGGATCAAAAGTTGATTGATATACTATATAACACATGCATTCTGGTGCAATGACGGAAGTCATAGGTACACATAACATTGTGGGGACTGGATGACTGATGCATTTCTAAAGGGGATAATAGAACTTTTTATCTCTTGAGTTGTCACTGCTAAGATAGTTTCTTAAAAAGGACACCATTTGATGGCTGTTCAGTGGCATATGTGAAGTGAACTCTTCTCAGTTCTGTTCTGTTCTTAGTAGGCAAAGGCTTCTACATTACCTAAACAGTCACACCAGTAAACATTACCCTTGTGAATAAATAGTCTTCCTGTGAAGCCAGGGAACAATTGGACATATAGCCCTTATTTTCCTCTTGCCATTGCCTACCTAGGGAAAATACTGCGAAGTAAGCTAGGGTGTGCTTCTACAGAACATTAGCTATTTCAGGCTAATTATGCATGCAAGCACTCTTCACATATCATTAAACTGAGGTAGCTTACTCCATCTTTAGATTGCTTAGCACTAAGGATTCTCATGTAGGAAGTTGGTGCAGAATTGTTAGTGCACTGTAACTGCATTCTAGCTTACTTCACAATAATATCTTCACTGTAACCACAAAGAAAGTCCCTTGAAGCTACGATTATACACAAGGGTGAGTAACTTTCCATGCTGTACCTCATTTGTCGTAAAATAAAAGACTACCATCTCCAGGTAGGTTCATCCAAGAACTTGCTGTGTAGAATTAAAATAATTTTTACTAGTGGGGAAAAAACAATACCTAATAAAACTCAATCACCTGTAGCATTGTGTGTACTGTACTACCAAATAGATTGAAATCAGGGTTGTTCAGGGGGCTGAACCCTGCATGGGCCAGTGGGGCTGCCACAACATGGGCAGCTCCCCTTTCCCACTACTATACTCATGGGTGGGCCCCTCATTGCTATACTGGGTGGCGCAAATAGCACCCCCTTCAGCTCAACAGCCATCGTCTCCCTTGCTGCACAATGCCTGGGCTTCCCCAGGACCACATGTTGTACTGCACTGCACCTGCCCCTGGGGTAGGTTCAGGAAGCAGAAGCCAGGGGAAGGAGGGGAAGTCCAGGGACCCTGGCTGCAGCATCAGCTGGAGTAATAGGGGGAGTGGCAACCTGGTAGGAGCCCAAGACTCAGATTAATCCCTTATGGTCTGCATGCAGCCCCTGGGCCATCAGATGGGCAACCCTAATTTAAATAGTTCATTATATAAAGCACTGTTGTATATAGTATGTTTGTGCAGAATATATACTTAATATCATGGTGAGTTCCAATGTCCTTGTAACCATTATAGCATAAATTAATTCTGAAAAAAGACATCTAAAGTGAATCTTTTTGATAGCTTCTAGGAAGCCAGGTAAATTTGAAAATAAAATCACTTTCCTATTCTGAGAATCAAAGAGCAGAGCTGAACCTGCTGACATTTTTCACCTCAGTATTGCTCAGGGTGGAAATCTGTCCATTGAAATAAATGAAATTAATGTGGTACTGTTTCATATCTGCTGGTTTTGGCTGTCACACTTGAGAGCTAATCCAACACTGTTCACTGCATGACCTAAAGGACAAACACTACAAAATTTGCTCTCTTTTAAATGAGTTTTCAGAAATTCTCTCTATTATATTCACAGAGGTCATGTTACTTGATGAACCAACTACAGGGCTGGACTGCATGACTGCAAATCAGATTGTCTTGTTGCTTTCAGAACTTGCACACAAAGACAGGATAGTGATTATTACAATTCATCAACCACGGTCAGAACTCTTTCGGGTAAGGAATGTCAAGTGATGATGGCATTTTACTGAGTTTCATAGTACACAGTTTTTACTGAAGCCAGAAGTACAAGAGAGATCAGTAAAGCCTGGGTGCATCTAAATGAGATGCTACTGCGCAGTCGGTACTGTGCATTTATTTAGTACTTGTATTAGGAGGTAGTAAATGAATGCACAGTAACCGGAATTACAGCGCAGTAGCATCAGCTAACATCTTTTAAGTGATGCTACTGTACAGTAGCATATTAGCACTGTCCGTGCTATGACATGCTACTGCTCAGTATTATTTGGCTACTGCGCAGTCAGCATCTTGTGTAGATGTTCCCCTTCCATCTTCAAATTCTAATACTGGCTCCCTATTTTCAGTTACATTAAATTCAGGCTTCTTGTCCTTACATTCAGGATCTTTACAGTTTTTCCTACTCCCTGTATATTTGACCTTGTTCCTCATTGTACTCATTCCTCTACCGTATCAATGATACTAACTTCACATGTACACTGCCTTTTATCTTCCCTAACTTATTTTCTGCCTTCCCTCTTCCACCTTCCCCTGCCTTCCAAAACTGATGTATGCTATACTCTCCTCCACATACCTTTCCAAGACTAATGTATTCATTTACTTACTTTTCCTATGATGGCTATGAAGTCCAGCTAATATGGGATAGGTTAAAGGGAAGTGAGGTATAGTTTGTGGGCTTGTTTAAGTTTTTTAAATGACAATGCACATAATGGCTATCATTTTCAAAAGTGACCAGTAATTTTGTATATCCAACATAATACCCTAATTGGTCCTGCCTTTTATGTAGTACTAAGCACCAAACATAAATATCAAGTATGATATGCTCACACTATTCAGGTCCACTGGGTAAAAGGATGAGAAGCAGAAAAAACACTTGGAGTTTGGATACAGCTGTGGAAGGCTTTCTTTGATGAAAGTTCTGTGATACAAAGTCAAACCTGAGTGCAAGGGACCTGCTGGTAACAGTAATTTAGAGTTTCCAGGCACAACTTTTGCCCTTAGGGTCAACTCTGGGAGGTTGCTGAAACTTAGAAAACCCCAGAACTACCTAAATTATTTTGGTGACCTCTACAGCCCCTGGAGCAGCCAGTTTGGGAGGGTGCAAAATGGCTTAAAGCCAGTTTACCATCTACTGGTCTGCCCCCACTCCAGATTTGTGGGTTCTGTGCTACATATTTGAGTACTACAGCATAGACTCTCACCCCAGCTGTTTTAGATAATCTCAGACTGAACACCTAAATTTACTAGATAGTTTAAAAAATATTGGCCAGTGTATATCAAAATTGCACGTACATTGATGTTATCCTTCCCCCTACCCTAAGCAAATTGTGACTTCTTAAATTGAAAGCTCTTTGAGACAAGGACTTTATCTTCCTCTATGTATAGATAGTGTCTATCATTTATTTTGTGAGCATTGTTAGAGTGCAGATATAAATAGCAGACAAGGTTCCTTGTGTGAATCTGATATCTTTTATTAGACCAACCCAAATAGTTGGAAAATAGTTATTAGGCAAGCTTTCGGGTTCAAAAACCCCTGTGATATAAATAGCAATAGTTCAAATCTTTTAATTTAGAGCACTTCACAAATACTAACTAATCATCCTAACCACCTTATGAAGCAGATTAGTACTTTTGCGCTTGTATCAGAAACTGGGGTAACTGAGACACAAAGAAGGTCAGTTAATTAACCAAGATAAATCAAATCTTCATCGAAATTAAGGTCAGAAACCAAAAATTAAGGGTTCATATCCCTGTTCTCAGACTATACCTTTCTTTCTTGCATGCTGTAGGACCCAATATACTTTGAGAAGAATCCATTGTAATCGATTAAGAATGTAACAAAACAGCTTGTGGGGTCATCACGGGAAAAATACCTCCTTTGTAAGCATAGAAATTATGTATTGTGGAAATTTAATGGCAGGCCAAAGTTAATCTTCCTTTATTAGCTTGTTAGTGATGTTCTTGTTAATACTGTATAGTCATCATTAATCTGTTATTTGTCCAACCAGTTATTTGACAAGATTGCTATCATGAGCTTTGGAGAACTGGTTTTCTGTGGGAAACCTACAGAAATGATCACATTTTTTAGTGATTGTGGCTATGACTGTCCTGAGCACTCAAATCCTTTTGACTTTTATGGTAAGTTGAACTCAGTCATATTATCAGACACACTGATAAGTTCTTTCAGGCAAAGAAGTTGAAGGTTTTGCCAATGGAGAACTCATTTATTCTAATTTTTCCTGAAAACTAATTATACTACGCTTATTTATTCTATTTCCTGTAAGTGGAAAGTTACCCTTATTCAACAGAATGGCTGCTCTTAGTTCTAAGAGGAATAGTAAATGTGAGATCGGCAGCAAAAAAGGTTAGGTTGGTCCTGAAAGCATGCAACTTCTGTTTAGCATAATATTTATTTAAACCTTTGGAATATATGGCATTTAGATGCCATGGTGATAGGCAAAGTAGAGTCCAGGCATGCAGGTTGTTGATCTAACATTTCACTTTGGCTCAGTAAAGAGTAGAAATATGCAATAGCACTGCAGCCATAGCAGATGAAATAGAGTCAACTAAGGGTGCAACTGAAGTTCCAGGCTCAGGACCCCTTTGGATTCCTAACAGCCATTCCTCCTGTTGCCTTTACAGGAAATTGAAAATGTTTAGCCACTTTAAACTACTTTATAGAAGGATGCACTCCCAGGCTTAAACTGAAGAGATCTCTTGATTTTTGTTTTTAGGTGTCAATTGTCCTCTCAGTTACTGGGGTTCTTCAAGATGTTCTGTCCATGCATGTGTGTTGGATCTTGTTGCTGAGCTGTGCCTGAACCCTGCCTGTTCTCTCTCCTCTAGTTAAAGACATAATGATTAGAGCAGCCTCAGCCATACCTCAATTAATCTTGATAATTCAGAATCTCAATTTAAAGACAGTGCAAAAAAAAGGTGACGAGTCATGGGAGAACCACAGATTCTGTCAAGTAGAAAGAAACCATTTTGTTGTCTTAAAGCGTGCAGCTGTGTGCATCCAACTCTAGGTGGCCGTCCTCTCATGAAAGTAGTTTTGAGGTGGTCTAGCTGCCAACTAAAAGATTATTATAACATTGTTCTGCTAAACATGGTCTCTGATCTTGCAGCCACTCCTAGTAGCCTCCTTATAGATCTGTATCATGCAGATATTTTTGTGAATTAGCTTTTAAGTCCTCCCTGGTTTCTGAAAGGAAGCTTCTTGAAAAAGCAAATACTTTTTCTGCATCAAAAATGATGCTTAGCAAATAATCATTGATGATTTGCTCTGCATGGTTGAAGTGAAGTGAAGGAATAAGGGTTTTGTTGTCTCTGAAAGCAGCCAGGCTGACAACCTTGCTCCTAAATTGAAGAGGCCCAGCACCCAGATGTGTATAGACTTGTTAGAAGCCAGCTTGGTTAGTTGGTTCATTACTGTCCATCTAGTGAATGAGTTAGGGCTCTGAAGGGAGTTATTCTAAGCAGGAGTGATGGACTGCCTCTATATCTTGATTAGCAAAGAGGTTAATGTCCCTTGCTAGGTAGCGAGAGAGAAGAATGTGGCCAAGAGACTAGGGAAGGAGTAGATCTTCTTGCACAGCCCTGTCTGATGAAGCCCCTTCTGTTCCAAGGACAATATCAGAGAGGTAGTGACTTCCATCAGCAGTAAGTCAGCTGGAACTTTTATCAGTAGCAGCTCTGGTACTAGTAATGCAGTTTTTAAGTTGAGAAATTTAGTACTGTATGTAGACCAAATAGCTTTAGGACCCATCATGGATTTTACATTTATGCAGTGATTAATTTTAGGAAGCATTATATATACATACCCAGATGTTTGCTGAAATTAGGTTTACTACATTCATGTTTGGTCTCTCTGAACAACTGATTATAAGCTATATTCATTGTTATCATATTTATGCTTGTTTCTAATGGCTTTTTTTGCCTCCCACAGATTTTATTTGTTATATGAGGTGAATAATTTGGAAGGATAGGAAATGAGAATATAGGAAAAATAAATTACGGAGTCTTCGGTTATGTATATAGTTTAATGCTGTTTTGTGAATTTCCAGTGGATCTGACATCTGTAGATACTCGAAGCAGAGAACGTGAGCTGGAGACCTACAGTAGAGTTCAGATCATTGCATCTGCCTATAAAAATTCAGAGATCTTTTCCAAGACTTTAGAGGCCATTGAAAGAATGAAACACACAAAAGATATGACTTCTATACCTTTCAAAAGCAAAGATTCACCCAATGGATTCTCCAAACTCTGGATCCTCTTACGGTAAAAAAGCAGTTACAAAAACTAATATTGAAACTCTAATTCTATAACATTTAGACAAAATCATTTTCCTTGGATAGACATTATTTCTTTCCCACTGCAACTCATTTTCCTTGTGTTTAGCTTTTATATGGCAACATGCTGTGGCATCTTGGGTTTTATGCTGTAGCACTCTTGAGATCCTTTCAAGGGCACTATGGGGTGCTATGCAATGTTAACACTGTTAGGTGTACAAACACGAGTCACAAGATAAACCCAGAGATTCAAATAGGTGTTTATAATGTTGAAGCCATTTTGATTTGTTGTGGTCTTTCTGAGTTGTTTGCAACAAAACAATTGCTCTCTTATTTTTCTGTAGTCAAAAAATGAGTGAAAAGTAAAAGCTGGCATTTTCTGAGGACTTGCCTTGAGCTAAACAAGGGTTGCCTTGAATCTAAAAAGGTTGAGATCCACTGGTTTAATCACTGCTAGCTAAAAGACGCAATGATTCTGTTTCTGTATCAGGAGAACAACAAGGAATTTCTCCAAAGATAAGATGGGCGTCATCATGCGTCTCTCCCAGAATCTGTTGCTTGGCCTGTTCATAGCATTTTTCCTTCTCCGACTGAAGGATGACCCTCTGAGAGGAGCAGTGCAAGATCGGGTGGGGCTCATTTACCAGTCTGTGAGTGCCCCACCTTATACAGGAATGCTCAATGCTGTTGCCCTATGTAAGTTTGTGATCTGTCCACATTATATGCAGCAACCCATGCATACGCTATAAGTGCTCTTATATGCTCTTATATGGCATATGCTATATGGACCTCTTTTAAAAATGTTAATTACAGAGACAGTGCATCTTAGAGTTGCTTGGTTGTACTGTAGGTGGAGAAATGTCCTGTATGTATTTATCCTAGTGTATCATGTTGCTATTTCACATCCTCCTAGTGAAAGTGGCAAGGAGCATAAAACCATGACTCCATCTAAGCCTTGTCTATCCCTGTCCATATGCTAAGGCTGAACAGATGAACTCTGCAAGAGTAGAAGAGTCCTGATGGCCCACCATACTCTGGTGTGGCTGAGTATAAGGCAGGGCAAAGTCTCACTGTTAAGTTACACAGTGTTAATTGAAATAATGCCCATAGATATGGAAAGGGCGAAAGAGTAATTAAGTAACTCTTAGATAAGAATGATATTAGATCCTTATGTTGTCGTATGTGATCCTCAAAACAATTACGTTCTTATTAGAAGCTGTTTCTTTTACAGCTGCCATAAATAAGCCACCCATGTAATGATTTGGCAGCTGGCAATTGTTGTGTCTGTCTAGGGAACGTTCATAGTTCGTATCCTCTCAGGATCTGAACTCATGTATGAATTGGTTAGCCATGGCAGTTCTGCACAGCCTCAGATTCTTACCTGCTGGAGGTGAAGTTTGCCTTGTGCTTGACACATATAGCCACCTCTCGTACAGTATGCAAATTGTCCCAGCTTGCTCCTGACGCTGGCTCTCACTTGCACATATGGATGGCCACCAGCCTGGCTAAAAAAGAAAGCATTTCTGAACTATTCTGATAAAATGTTGCCTTGTCAAGTTTGCTAGCAGCAATTCTTCTGTGGCCTCCATAGTCAAGGGTACTTTAATTCCTTTTGTACATGTTCCAGTTCCTCCTTTACGTGCTATCAGTGACCAAGAAAGCAAAGATGGCTTATACCAGAAGTGGCAGATGCTGTTAGCATACATACTGCATGTCTTGCCTTTCAGTATCATCAGTGTGGCAATGTTCAGCACCTTTATATACTGGTAAGCATTAAGACAGCTACATCCTCTTAAGTCTTGTATTTACTGTCTTCCCTCAGGAATAATCCTTTCCTTTTAGATCCCTTTGTCCCTCTTGTGATTCTGTTCTTTTTACTTTTAAGCAACATAGAAGAAAGTTCTTAAATGCTTATAAGTAATTTTTGAAAACAGCATTGATAGCTCCTAAACAAAGATATTATGTCAATTATGATGTAATAAATGCTGTCGGTAAGTGAAAGATCTTCACGTAATAGCAACCTCAAGTGTTTAAGATACCAGTTTTAGCTTCCTTTTTGTGGAAATGGATTCAGTGCACTGTTTCAAAATATGCAGTCTTGGTCAGCTAAGAGGGCTTTAAAAAGAAAGGCAAAAAGACAAATAGTCAGGATGGAAAGACAGACACGTGTATCTGGGTGGCAGTAAGAACTCAAGTTTTACACACCCAGTGGTGTTTGTGACTTAGTGAAAACCAGGGGAAGCAGTGATGTTCTCTGGGTTTGGCCTGGTCAAGTCTTCCCTTAGGATTAAGATGACAAAAGCACAATGATTTCAGGGTAAATCTTTGGGTCCCAAGAGAAGAGGGGATGGCAACTAGTGGGAAAACTTTTTTTTTAATCTACCCATTTGTCTACCGTTGTGAATTTAAAGATCCCAGGAAGGGATGATGGGTGGAAACGCATCTTTTCATTAGATAGGAGCAGACCTAGTTTTTGGCAAACAACGTTTGGGTCCACTGATTTTCAGGTCCCATCTTCTTGTTTTCCAGACATGATCCTAGCACAGTCCATAGGTGGTATCAATAGGCCTTTTATAGACTAATATCTGCCTTTAACTTCTGCTGACTTTTAAAACCACTTTTCTGAAACAGGTTAAGTTTAACTTTTGTTACCTTGAATGGATTTGGGTATAGAGTTCTACGCAACCATGTTTATATCAGGTGTGAAGCAATTAGGAGCTGTGACGCATACATAGCACAAATTACCATTCACATTTCTTCAGCCTTATCATTCTGTATACCTCCGAGTTATTGCAGGGTGGGGGTAGTACACTGAAGATTATTATAACCTTTCCTGTGATATTTGATAGTAAAGGGACAATTACTTTATAATCTGCAGTAAAATGCACATCAATGAAGGCATTATTACCTCTGACTTCAGGTGCCAGAAACCCTTTCATCTTTCTTGTGTCCTGGATGCATGCATTGTGGTCAGTTTTAGGGTTTGTCTACAAGAGAAGGGTGTTGTAATACAAGCTACAATGTAAATTGAAAGCACAGTAGCTGCTATTCTGCAATAATTCTCTCTGTAGGCTCACTTATTCTACACTAAATGTATTGTTGACATATAGCTTAATCTACTTAGGCAGGGCTCTCCAACTGTAGTGGGGTTTTGGTGGAGAGAGGAGTGTCACACATGGCATACACCATACAGGCCATATTCCCCCCACTACCCAGCCATCGCCAACAGCAACACACATTTCCTTTGGATTTCCTCTCTGGCACATGGGCTACCCAAGTGTCCCATGTGGGCACACTGGCAACATCAGGCAACACTGGCAACATGCATCTCCCTGCAGGCTCTGCCCCACTATGTGGCAGTGAGAGTTGCAATGACCCTCAGGCTGCATCATGGCCCCTTGTGGGCTTCCAGTTGGACAGCCATGCACTTTGGAATAATTTTGTGAACAGACTAAGCTTAACTTGTCCAAAGGTAGATGTGTGGAGTAAGTGTGTACATGTGGAGAGCATCTCTGAATATTTTGTGAGGGGAGTTTCCCCAGGCAGACAAGCCCTCACAGCCACATCCTTTATCCAGGTCCTCCTGTTTTATAGGAAGCAGCGGTGTGATGTTCTGATGGGGAGAGCATTGGTGTAGTCCTTTTCAGAGATCTCAGTGACTAAGGTCTCAAGTGCAGAGACAGAATGGACCAGGGAAAATAAAATACTTTTTTTTTTAATTACCTTTGTGCTCCTATGGTTGGAAGGACTTACACACGTCATTAGGCAAGGCTTGCTGTGTTTTGATTTTTAGAGAAGCAGGAGTTTACAGGTGAGGTGGCCCTTCTTATCTCCTTGTTAAGAGGCTAGAAAAAAAGAACATCAGCTGGGAATGTCTGTACCGCTTTAAAATTGCCCCCTTCACTGAAAAATACAAAAGATCTTTCTCTCCTCTGAAATCAATCTCCTTACGGCCCTATGATCTGATTGCCGGAGACCTGGATTAGAGCATTCTGTGGCCTTTCCTGCAAATGCTGGCAATCCTCTAGGACTGTGGAGGAAGGACTACCAAAGGCAGCACCAGAGAAGGGAGAGAGAATGGACTTCCAGGAAGGTGGAAGCTGGAAGCTTTTGACCTCTGGCAGCAAGCAGAAATCTTCATCTCCACGTGCAACAGTGTGCCTACAGAAGAGATATGGAGCCCTAGCAACAGCGGAGGAGCTGCACGTTCTGTTGGTGGAAGAGGGCAGGCCTCCACATGGTTGGAAGAACTGAGACCACTGCCACCAAGAAAAAGCGACAGGTGGTGACGGGTGGAGACTTTTGAGGGGGAGGGAGGCATGACCTGTTGTCTCGGGCAGTCTGCTGCTTCCCTGGAGCCCAGATCTGAGATGTCACAGAAGAATTACTGAGACTCACTTGGCCCTCTGACTACTATGCTATGCTGCTCGTTCATGTGGGCACCACAGGAGAACATGAGCAGATCAAAAGCGACTACAGGACTCTGGGTGCAAGGGTAAAGGGGATGGGGGCTCAGGTGGTGTTCTCCTTGAGCCTTCCAGTCAAGGGGAAGGGGCCAGGCAGCAGAGAACGCATCCTGCAGTTCAATGCATGGCTGTGCAGATGGTGTTGCCAGCTGGGCTTTGGCTTCTTTGACCGCAGGATTTTGTTCCAAGGAGAAGGATTGCTAGGAAGAGAAGGGATCCATCTGATGAAGAGAGGAAAGAACATCTTTGCAAACAGGCTCACTAAACTAACAAGGGCTTTAAACTAGGTTCCTCAGGGGATAGAGACCAAAGCCCCGAGGTAAGTGGGGAAATGGATGACCTGAAGGAAGCTCAAGTGGGGGTGGGAGGGGAGGGCAACAGAGGAGGTGTTCTCCTTCTTCCCGAGAAATTAGAGCAATTGGCTAGTTATCTCAGGTGATTGTATATGAGCGCACAGTCTGGGAAACAAGCAAGAAGAACTTGAAGCCCTTGCACAGTCACAGAACTATGATGCGATTGGAATAACAGAGACTCGGTGGGATAGCTCACATGACTGGAGCATTGTCATGAATGAGTACAAACTGTTCAGGAAGGCCAGGCAGGGAAGAAGAGGAGGAGTTGCACTTTATGTAAAAGAGCCATATGATTGCTGAGAGCTCCAGTATGAAACTGGAGATAGGCCTATTGAAAGTCTTGGGTTAAGGTTAGAGGGGAGAGCAATAACAGGTAATGTTGTGGTGGATGTCTGCTATAGACCAAAAAACAGGAGGAAGTGATGGATGAGGCTTTCTTCAGACAGCTAGCAGAAGTTTCCCAATCAGAGGCCGTGGTTCTCATGGGGGACTTCAGTCACCCTGACATCTGCTGGGAGGGCAATATAGCAGTGCACAGGCAATCCAGGAAGTTTTTGGAGAGCATTGGGGACAACTTCCTGGTGTAAGTCCTGGAGCCAACTAGGGACCATGTTCTTCTTGACCTGCTGCTCACAAACAGGGAAAATTTGGTGGGGAATGTAGTAGTGGATGGCAACTTGAGCAGCAGCAACTGCAAGACGATTGAGTTCAGGATCCTGAGAAAAGGAAAGGAGAGCATCAGAGTACAGACCTTGGACTTCAGAAAAGCAGACTTCGACTCACTCAGGGAACTTATGGGTAGATGCCATGGGGGGCCAGTTTGAGCGGGAGAGGAGTCCAGGAGAGCTGCCTGTACTTTAAAGAAACCTTACTGGGGGTGCAGAAACAAACCATCCTGATGTGCAGAAAGACTAGCAAGTGTGGCAAAAGACTAGCTTGGCTTAGCACGGAACCCTTTAGTAATCTAAAACACAAAAAGGAGTGGAAGAAATAGAGTTTACAAGAAGTGGAAAGTTAACAAGAAGTTTACAAGAAGTGGAAATTTAGACAAATAACTAAAAAGGAGTATAAGAATATTGCTTGGGCATGCAGGGATGAAATGCAGGAAGGGCAAAGCGCAATTGTAGTTGCAGCTAGCAAAGGACATGAAGGGTAACAAGAAGGGTTTCTACAAGTATGTCAGCAACAAGAGGAGGATCAGGGAAAGTGTGGGTCCCTTAATGAATGCAAAAGAGCAGGTTAGGGATTATTTAGAAAAGCTGGATGTGTACAAGTCCATGGGGTTGGACAAGATGCACCCGAGAGTGCTGTGAGAATTGGCCGATGTGACTGCAGAGCCACTGGCCATCAACTTTGAAAACTCATGGGGATTGGAAGAGGTCCCAGATGATTGGAAAAGGGCAAATATAGTGCCCATCATGGAGGACTGGTGCTGCCTTAATCAGGGGGGCACATGCCCCCCCCAGCGACCAGTCAGTGACTGGGGGAGTCCCCCCCAGGGCCGATCTCCGGGAGTGGCTGCAGCTGCTTCTGGGAGCACAACAGCACTCCACTCCCTGGCCAGCACTTGCAGGGTGGGCACTGGTGCTCCCACCTGCCCCCCCCTGCCCATTGCCTAAGAGGTGAGGGTGCTGGTCAGGGGGTGCACATGCACCCCCATGTACCTCCTACATGTCACCACTGGTGCCCATGTTTAAGAAAGAGAAGGAGCAGCCAGGGAACTGCAGACCAATCAGCCTATCTTAGTCCTGGGAAAAATCATGGGGCAGATCCTCAAGGAATCCATTTCTAAGCACTTGGAGGGGAAGGTGATTAAGAACAGTCGGTTTGGATTCACCAAAGGCAAGTCATGCCTGACCAACCTGATTGCCTTCTATGATGAGACGACTGGTTCTGTGCATGTGGAGAGACCAGTGGATGTGATATACCTTGACTTTAGCAAGGCTTTTGATACCGTCTCCCACAACATTCTTGCAAGCAAGCTAAGGAACTATAGGCTGGATGAATACCAACCTTTGTTGGTATCTTTGTTGAGATACCTCAACAAATTGGGGGGTTGGACCAAAAGAAGTCTTATGAGGTGCATTAAGGAGAAGTGCAAAGTCCTGCACTTAGGACAGAAGAATCCCATGCACCAGTACAGGCTGGGTGGCTAAGCAGCAGCTCTGCAGAAAAGGACCTGGGAGTTATAGTGGACAATAAGCTGATTATGATCCAACAGTGTGCCCTTGTTGACCAGAAGACTAACAGCATACTGGGCTGTATTAGTAGAAGTGTTGTGAGCAGATCAAGAGAAGTGATTAGTTCCCCTCTCTTTTGACACTGGTGAAGTCGCATCTGGAGCACTGTGTCTAGTTTTGGGCCCCTCACTATAGAAGGGATTGGACAAGTTGGAGAGAATCCAGCAGAGGGCAACAAAAATATAGGGGCTTGGGGGCTGGCATACATGACTTCTGAGGAGAGGGAACTGCGTTTATTTAGTCTGGAGAAGAGAAGACTGAGAGGGGATTTAAAAGCAGCCTTCAACTACCTGCAGGGTGGTTTGAAAGAGGATGGAGCAAGACCACTCTCAGTGGTGGCAGATAACAGAAGAAGGAGCAATGGTCTCAAGTTGCAGCAAGGGAGGTTTAGGTTAGATACTAGGAAGAATTTTCTCACTAGGAGTGTAGAAAATCATTAGAACAGGTTACCCAGAGAGGTTGTGGACTCTACATCCTTGGAGGTTTTTAAGACCTGGCTAGGCAAATCATTACCTTGGATGACCTAATTGGAGATGGTCATGCTTTGAGCAGGAGTTTGGACTAAATGGCTTCCTGAGGTTCCCTCCACTCTTGTGGATGCCAATCAGCCCCAGCTCCCGTTCCACCACTTTACCCAGCCATTCGCTTTTCCTTTCATTTTATTTCCTCTTGTTCCTACCCTGCTATCCTTTCTTTTTCAACCTTGCTTCGTTTTAACCCTTCAACGTTTCCCTTTTGCCCTATGCTCCTGTTTTCTTTGTTTGACTGTGTTCCATTTTCCTCATTCAATATGGGTGTCCTTCCCATTCTTTGTTTAGCCAATTTCACTTCTTTCTCAATTTGGTGGCATTTTGTCAAATCAGTCTCCCTTGCCCATGGTGGCCTTTTGACTGCCCATGTTTCTCAGGTCCAATCTCTGTCCTGCCAGTCTCTCTCTCCACCCTGGCTCCATGTCACCTATTCTTAGCTTCCAGTTCCGGTCTTTAGCCCTCTGCTAGCCTACTCCAATTCCAGTCTCCGCTGCCTTTGTTCCTCTTCCTAGTTTAATGTCTTGCTACTCCACAGTGGCCTAGGTCCATCTCTTCACCTCTTTGAACTTGAATCTGATGGATTCCTCTTCACACTGCGTGGATGTTAGGGGGGAGAGGGAAGGATAGGGAGCACAGGATAAACAGGCAGTACTCTCAGATCCAATGATTGGAAGTACCTCAGGCAGGAGCAAACTAATATGGAGATTGGCTTCATCCTGGTGGTCATTCCTGGGCTGGAGTATATTCTGGGATGTGAAAGAAAGGAGCAGAGTCGGTTTCTCTCCAGGGCTAGCAGCATGCATGCTGGCTAGTACAGGGAGCTGTACAAGGCTCATGCATGTTCTCTGAAGGTAGAATCTGCAGAGCTTTTAGCTCTTATGGTCTCGGAGGTCTCACCTATGTGCAAAATGTAACTTTCCCTTGAAAGTTTCCAAAAAGAATATGGCCCAAGGCAGACTCCTGGCATGAAAGAATTCAACCCTAACACTTAAATCTTATTTTGTGAATATCCACTAACTTTGTTGCCTATTTTAACTAGTCAATCAATGAGAATTTCCTTGTGTTGTGCGTTACGATAGATATAATTCTTTGGCTATGTACTCAGAGTAGAAACACCCCTATGACAATGTCTCTTATTTACAGATAGCCTTGTAAGTTCCCTAGGGTTCCAGCCAAGCCACTAAAGATTGCTGTTCCAGGAAAGCAGATTCTGTATATCGGGAGATAGCAGGGCTCTTGGAATGAATAGTTCTGCCAGATAGTTCATTTTTTGCTGAGTCCCTTCCATTCTCCTAGAATATAGTCTTATACTGATTCATTTTCACCTTCGTACCAGCGAACAGCAGGGGAAGGCACTTCTCACTAAGAGGTCAAGCCACGATGGAACTGGCAAAGTGCCGGAAACAGCTTGTTGGCAGGGGTGAGGGAGCATTGGTTGGTGTAAGGGAACACTAACATGGATCTTCTTGAAGATTGTTAAAAGCCTAATTTTCAATGGCCCCAATCCAGTTGTCTTTTCTGAAACCAGATTTTGCAAGTATAAAATATGACAGGTGCAAAATTTCATGTTTGATTATTTACAGATGTCATTTGGCCAGCCCATTACATGATCACAGCTCCCCGCTATATACATGGTTAAAGGACAAAACGTGCATGCACTGAACTGTATGCACTGTAAAGTAGGCAGGATTTAAAAGCTGCACCAGAACAGTCTTTTTTAAAATGCTGTTTTGCTTTTATTTGCACAGGACTATAGGTTTACACCCTGATGTTTCCAGATTTGGATGTTTCTTTGCTGTTGTCCTAGTGCCTCATGTAATTGGTGAACTACTAACACTTGCTTTGCTTGGTGTGGTTCAAAACCCAAATGGAGTCAACAGCATGGTGGTGCTACTTAATACAGCAGGAGTGGTAGTTGGAAGTGGGCTCATAAGGTAAGGCAAAAAAAAAAATTAATTAACAAACAGTCTCAAGAATGGTCTGTTGCTAGATGTCAGACTACAGAAAGTGATAATGGACAACAAGGTAGCAGATGGATAAAGGTCTACCCAGTAATCTTTAGCAAGGTGACTATCTAATCAGTTTTCTTTTTCGACCTTGTACTAAATGCAAGAATAAAGCATCTGATAAGTTTATTGTATCAATAAAATCATTAAGAAACATTTATATATTAGATTAATTGTTTCCCTCACTGATTTTTGGAGTTGGACTAAAGTAAAAGCCTAACCTTTTCAACTGGAACAACTCCTGTATGCTGTCTTCCGTGCTAACAGCAGCCCTTTGAAGCATTCACGATGGGATTTTACAAAAAATCCTACTGCTACAAAAACCTGTAGGAACCAAACTGCTGTTAGAAGCCATGGGAACTTTAAAAAACATTTCCTATTGTCAGCAAGGCATCAGTGTTGTCGTCATTGACCATATATTTTGTTTTGTTGTATTGTTTTAATTTAGACATTGTACATTCATGACACTCACTGTACACCCACGACACTTGCTGTCTTTGTACAGTTCCTTTCTTAAATGTATCTGTTTTGAAATCAGTCTCAGATTTTTGAGAAAAATAATCAAACATGAAAACTATTATTGTGAAAATTCACCTTAGGGCTCTGGTAAATGAGGCACACATTGAGACTTCCCATAGGACTGTAATAAGTTCTAACAGAGGCAATATCTAGGACTGCTGTGTATTTGGGAGCATGTGATAGTGATCCGCAGGCAAGCATACGAGCCTTTACAATGATGAAGGTGCCTCTGTCTCTCCTAAACTTTAAGTAGGGCTGGTTCATCAAAGTAAATTGACACACACTCCGCTTTTATCCACTGTTACATTCAGTGCATTTTTGTTGTGAAAGTGGTTCCTTTCCCATTTCCTAAATGCTTCCCTGATCTCTTTATACAGTTTCAGTTTGTGTTTTTTTTACCTTGTTTTATAGCACAAAGACGGTATGAGTTAGAGCTGTAAATCTTCATGGGCTCTGAAGAGAATTTGCAGTCAGTTAGACTTAGTTTTTGGACAATTCTGTTGCGTTTGCTGTGGTTGGTTGTAAAGCATTAGTGGTAATCTCTTGTGGACGCACAGAGTGTACACTTACTGAGGATAGCTGTTTCAATCAGATTGTATACAGTCTGTTTCTATTAGTATTATTGATTCTTTGTCTGGCCTGTATCAATAGCAATGTTTTAGGGATAATTATTCATTTTATGTTATCTTATTGGGAAATGAGATGCATATACCTGGTAGATTTCTTAATCATATGTTAGGGGTCTACTGAACTCAAGGAGGAGACTGGCCAATTGTGTGGGCAGATTCTGAGGCTGGCACAGTGGGGCCCTCCCACAACTCTAATTGGCCAAAGGGCCCTGGCAGTCCTAACCCTTCTTACAGATTGCCACATGGCACATGGTCACTGTGGCTTAATTACCCAGATTAAGCCAAGAGAAATCATTAATCCAGGGGTTATTAAGCGTGGATTAATGTCTTCCCCAGTCTTAATCAAAGTAATTTAAACCAGTTTCAGGCCATCCCCGAGCAGTGGGCTCCACGATTTTGGCAAGCATCCTGCAAAACAAAAAAAGCCAACCTCCCACCCCCCATCCTGGCAAGCAGAGCACAAGGAGGAGGGGAAGGGGCAGGGAAGGAGGCAGCAGAGGCTACAGGCAGCTACTACCTGCAGCCTCTGCACCTCCTGCTGCGAGCAGCCCTGCCTCCCCCTCTTCCCTGCCCCCTCCCACACGCCCTGCGCTCCTAGATTCTCTACTTGCCAGTAAGTTTTTTTTTGCAGTGAGCCTGCCATTTTTCACATAGCCAACCCAAATTCGTGGTTGGTTTCCACAAAAATCACACACTCACGAATAGGTTCCTACATAAAGTACATTATTATTTTTTACTGCACCTAATCATTTTTTCATTTGTTTGGTTAGCGTTTTGATAACAAAGCAGCATGAATATCCCCAAATTGTATAACATTGCTTACTACTCTGCACAAACAGTTAATCTTTGTACCTCCTGATACATGCATAAAGGGCAGCATCTTCTTGAATGGGCCCCTGGCACTTGAGGTTACAAAACCAGTGTGTGTACTTGTACTGTACAAGCACCATTAAGAAGGCTCTTTGAAATGTGCGCCTCAGAAAGGGGAGGGGGCTGAACAGTTACTGCAATCATGGGTAGCATTGCCTTTTAGCAAAGTACATTAGTCCATTAACTCACTTTTGTTTGTTTAAGGAGCTTGGAAGAAATGCCTACACCTTTTAAAGTGCTAAGTTATCTCACGTTTCAGAAATATAGCACTGAGGTTCTTGTAGTCAATGAATTTTATGGATTAAACTTCACATGTGGTAAGTGGTCTGTTAAACCTCCTAAAGCTTTTGAAAGTCAAGGTACTGAGAGATTTCTTGCATGCTCAAGAGAAAAATAAGTGAGATGCGTTTAAACCTGCGTTTGTTTAGAATTGTTATTTTTGGACCAAGCAAAAGACCCAGGGCCCCCAATGAATTGTGTTCTTATATGCATTGCAGCAGGGCTTTGACACAAACATAATGGTAAAGCACAGGCAATGAGACAGTCACTTAGCACTAAGAGCCAGATTCAAAATATGATTTAGGTGATCCTGCTGCTTTTCAGTTGGAATTTGCTTGCCATTTCCTCAGATGTGTAATTCGACACAGCTCACTCTAAATGTTCAGGCACAGGTGAAGCTCTACACCTTCTAGCATTTGGCTGAGAAAGGACAAAGATCTTTGAAACCAAAACTACTCCATATCCTCAGAATTGCTGCCATTTTGCATGAGATGCACACGTTGGCCGCTTGATGCGTGACAAGGGTATAGTCCCCTAAATTGAAACTGTGGGTTTTTAATGGTGATTCACCACTGTGGTGAAGGGCCCAATCCTTTCCTCTCCTCCACCCCCAACGTGGAGTCTGCCCACGTCTCCCGTGGCAGGGGGCGAGCTGCTGGCAGGCCAAGCAGCCCCTGAGTTGCAGGGGCCCCCAATCCTTCCCTCTGCAGCAGCAGTGCCCCCCCGAGGCCAGCTGGGTGGGCTGCTAGCAGATGGGTGCTGCCCGGGGGGGCACTGCTGCCGTGGAGAGAAGGTCCAGGGCCCCCCACAGCTCAGGACCCACTGGCAGCTCATTCTCCGGCCGTAGGAGAGGCAGGCAGGCTCTGTGGAGAAAAAAAAAAAAAAAAAAAGAAAAAGAAAAAGAAAAAAAAGGATCAGGCCCATTGTCGCTTTTTTTGCCCCCCTCAGTGGAGCCTGACTGTACGAGCGGCCACCAGGCCATGCAGCCCCCAAGCTGCAGGGGAGCATGGCCCTTCCCTCCGCGGCATGTGACTAGTGGGTGGGTGCTGCCCCAGCTCACAGGCAGCACCCGGCCTGATCCAACTCTTCCCTGAACCTGAGCTGGGGCACCACCCACTTGCTAGCAGCCCACCCAGGTGGCCCCACGGGGTGCTGCTGCAGTAGAGGGAAGGATAGGGGCCCTCCGCAGCTCAGGAACTGTTCAGCCCAATGGCAGATTGCCCCAGCCATGCGAAGTGCAGGCAGGCTCTGTGGAGAAAAAAAAAAAAAGGATCGGGTCCCTCACTGCTTCTGCCTTCAACCCACCTCTTCCGTGATGGGGGAGCGAGCTGTCAAAGGCTGCAATTTTACAAATAGCTACATTGCAAACTAAACTACATGTGGATGTGGTTTACTTTGCAACATAGCAAACTCATTTAAATAATAAAAAACCTCTGCATGTGTACAGTGATGCAATTAAACCGGAAAAACAGCCAGTTTTTATCACGTGTACAAGCACATGAACCCTGCCTAACCTGCTTGGGATTCATTATAAAGAAGAAGAAGAGCCTACCTTCTGACCAGTAGTGTAGTGGCGAGAGCACTTTCCCATGAAGCAAGACAGCTAGGTTCTGAGAGGGGATTCAGTGTGGGATTCAAACCCACATCCCCCATTTTCTAGAACACAGCCCCTATCACCAAGCTATGGACTAGGCTGTAACATCACCTAAGAACTCATGGGTACTCAGTGACACTGTAGTTCACACTTTAAATGGACAGCTGCATTCTAGGCCAATGTCTATTCCCACCACTTTCAGGATGCAATCCTATTTAGAGTGTACTGCAACAGTCTAATTTAGTCAGGACAAGAGGCCTATGTTGTAGCTATGACAGTAAGACCTTGCACTTCATTTTAAGGATATCAAAGCACTTTAGAAACATAAATAAATCTCATGGTACCAGACAAACAGTTTTCCCAGTAGGATAGTAGCCTGCTTTGGAGCATTGTGGTAGAATGGCTGAAGTGTCTCTCAACAGTGCCAGGAGTGTGCTTGAGCCCTACTTTGGGCTTGTGCCAAAGGCTGCACTTGGTTGCTCCAATTGAAAATGAGAACATGGTCATTTGGGTTGGGAGTCTGATGGCACACATTGCTCCGCTGTGAGCAACTGGCTATGGAAACTTGACATCTTGCTAGCTGGAAGAACTGTCAGGCTTCTTTGATCCTATGTCTCTTGCTGGCATTGTATCTTGTGGGCCCTACATCTTTTAATAAATGGCCCCAGTAATTTCATTCCTCTCTTCAGAAAATACAGTATAGGCTAGACACAAGGAAGAAGAAAGTCCCAATTCCCATTTTCAGGGCACAGCAAAGCAACACTTCCTCAGTTGTAGGTAGGACCCTCCACAACCACAGGGAAAGATACAAGAGCTGGGAACATACAGTTTTTAGAGGAAGGAATAATAAGGTCAAACACCTTTAATGTAATGGAGTTAGCTTAAAATTTGGTCTCTGGCTAGAAATCGGGGTTAATAATTAGCCTTCCTGCTCCAGGAAATAATTCATAATTTTTTTTTTGGCAGGTGGCTTCAATATTTCTACTGGAGCTGGTTCAACATGTCTTTTCTCACAAGGGATTCATTTTATTGAAAAAACCTTTCCAGGTGCAATGTCCCGGTTCACAACAAATTTCTTAATGTTGTATGCCTTCCTACCAGCACTTGTCATCACAGCAGTCATGAGTTTTAAAATAAGAGATAGAATTACCAGCAGGCAATAAAACCATTTGAAATTCTAGCCTGGCTATACAGTACTATACTATTAGAACCTGTAGCATTTGACTTATTTTTCTTGATGTTACATGAAATTTACATGCTTTTACATTAAACTACAGAAACATGCTTATTCTCTAATTGTGTTTCCAGTGTGTTTGTGTTTTGATATAAAATACTGTGGTTTTTTGAAAGCATTAATAGTTTAAAATTATATTATTATTTTCCCAATATCATATGTAACTTAAAATTTTGGGTAGTGCTGGCTGAATCTTCTTTGAAATATATTTTTTCAAAGTTCTAAATTGTAAATTGTAGTTTTCTTTTTGTCTGTAAAGTACTAAATAGGTTATTATCATACCCTGTGAAGTTTATTAGTAACTCACTTAGAATAACCTAGTGTTTATCTAAACAATGTAGGATTTGCTTGTACATTTAAAGAATGAACTAAGGTACATTGTTGTTAGGGCAAGCTGAAAAATTTTCTTTTTTTTTTTTGATAGATTAGGTTTTGGAGGAAATAAATTTGCTTTAGAGGAGGAAGGTATTTTTCCTACATAAAATTTAATTTGCTTCCAGACAAAAAAAAAAAGTTTTGGGATATTTGAATGGAAAATGTTTAGCCAGCTCACATAATATAGTTTTTGACATAAAATTAGGTTTTGAGAGAATGACATTTTCACAAAACATGTTTTCCCCCCTTATGGAAAAAAGTTCTTCACATTTTTAATGAAAAAATAATGTATAGGGCATTATTTTCCCCAACCTTTAACACACTCTGAATGTGACAAAATGTTTTAATGAGTATTCAGCCCTCCCCTGTGAGCATATGTATGTTAAGCACTATACTTTTTTTCTATTTTTTGTGTGCTAGTAAAGGAAAGCAAGCAAGATGCTTGTAAACAGTGTACATTCAGGAAAGTGCCCATTTAAGTTAAAGATCATAGCAGAAGTGCATATAGGCTCTTTCTGTAATAGAATATCTACAGTTTTGTTAATTTTTTTAGGTCCCTGGCACAAGTTCATTTAATGGTATGATTGTTGAGATCAGAGATCCAATTCCAATTATGCCATTACTACTTGCCAGTAGAAGGGGACCCGGAGATTATGATCGTAATCCCAGACTTCCTCTGCACTGACAAATTGACAAAGAAGTACCTGGGCCTACAATCAGTTACTTGTCAGCTGGCCCCTGGAATCCTACAGGGGACTTGAAGCAGCTCTCATGAAGTCTTGGCAGGTAGTCAGTTGATTGTCGGCCTAGCCCCAGACTGCACTAGGGCGGGTTTATGCTCCTGTCCCCATCGTCCTGCTGCTGAACACTCTTGTGCCTCCAACCTCATCCAGTCCTTCTGCCAGCATAGAGTGCCCTGGTCTTGAATTGGCCCTGGTGTGCTCCTGGGCTGGGTTGACAACCAGCTGATTGTCAGTCTATCTCCAGATCTTATCCAAGCTGGGTCAACCATCAGCTGATTGTCACCCCAGCCCTAGATCTCAGCAGAGCCAGTTGGTTGAATCCTCACTGCAGTCCAGGGAATGGAACTGACAGTGAGCTGACTGTTGGCTGCACCTGGGACAGCCTTGGGTTTGGTTTCAGAACAAGGTTGTCCAGGCCAGGCTCACAATGAGCTTACTGTCAAAGCCTCAGGCCCAGGAGCTTTAGCTGGGCTACTGGATGGAGGGGATCAGAGATTCTTGGTTGTGGGGCTGGAGGGGTGCAAGCTGAAGGGCTTCATCCACTGAGAATTTCAAATATGCTGGAAGCCTTTGATCCCCACACTGGGCAGCCCAGCCAGAGCTGCCACATGTGTGTTTTAAAGTCTCTGGTGGGGAAGCTGCCTCAGCAGCATTCTTCAAATTCCCTGTGTGGGTGCTTCTGGTTCTCCAGCTGAAATGTACCTCATCCTGTGCAGCTGCTGCTTCCACTGAGCCCCAGGAACTTAAAAAAAAGTAGGCATGCAGCTGGTGCTTTCAGATGCACACCAGCTTTTTAAAGGTCTGAGGATGCAGTGAGCCGGAGATCAAGGAAATGCTCCCTGATGCCAGTCTCATAGTGCCCCCACCCCCACATCTGCCTCTGGTAATCAGACAGAAGTGCTGGGTCCAAGACCCAAAGCTGCTCCCAGCCCAATCTCAGACTCGGGAGGAAATGGTTGTGTCCCAGACCCTGGAGCTGCCCTATGCTAAATCTCTATGCTCATTCAAAAGTAGGGAAAAAAGCCCCCATCTTGGATTTAAATACCAGCCCAGGACAGGCCGCTGCTGTGGCTCCAGGCTCAGAGCTGCAGCCACTGCCTGTGCAGGCCAGGGCCAGAGCTAGAGCTATTGCTGTTACTGCTGCCTGTCTGCTGCCCCTCCTGTCCATTTTCCCTACTGCTGCTACTGCTTTCCCTGCGGCAATGGTGGTGATGAATTTAAGATGACCCTCCAATAATTACATTCTACATACATAGAAAACTACAACAAATTTACAATTTTCCATGTTTTTAACTGGGGGGTCATCTTAAATTCAAAGTTTTCTTGGATTCAGGTAAATAAATAGATTGTAGAAACTTGAAAACCACAGTAAATAAGATCACTACCAGGCTGAATCATAGAATGGTACAGAAACTGTTTAACGATTCTGTGTTTGTGGTATTATTTTGCCAACTGTACAAAATACCTATTTAAATGAGTTGTGTAATAGTCAAAACAAATGTACAAAATCAAAATTAAAAACAGGGTGAGAATTTAGCCTTTAAGTAAGTCAAGATTCCAACTCCATTTCTTTCCAGGACTTGGAAGCATTTCTCTTATATTGTTCCAGTTCCTGCAACACAAACACATATATTGAAACGTTTTTAACTTAACATTCTCATGAACCAACATAATAACAAAACCCATGGATTAATTTTCAATTTTCAAATCTAAATCATACAGACAAATGGTCTATTTTTCTAAATCAAAACAGTGAGAGTAGTTTTATCACCATCTTGCTGAAATTAAAAATCCTGAGCCTTAGAGGCTGACCCAGGTACCATCAGGCAGGATACCTAAATTTGATTTCTTCCCATAAATATCTACTTTTGAGGGCAGGCCAACCCAGAGGCTGGACTGTTTAGGTCAGGCTTGTCCGACAAGCAGCCCGCCAAGCCGTTTTCTGAGGCCTGAGGTGCTGCAACGGGAAACACTGTTTACTTTCATTCCCACCCCTTGTCCCTCCCCCAGCCCCTCAGCAGCTTCCTAAAATGGGGCGGGGCGGTCCTTTGGCCAGCCCACTGGGTGATAAAACGTTCATGATCTGGCCCCACATTCAAAAAGGTTGGAAATCCCTGGTTTAGGTTATACATAAATTAGCTGCTGCACAGTAAGTCAGTTTTAACTTACTCTTTTGTAACCCTGGACAACTAGTTTCAGTTATATATTGGGCTAACTTCAGGATCTTATGCCTGTTCCAAGGAATGAACCATATAGTTGGTATTCTCCATGGGAATCCTATGGCAAGAAAGACATTCCACAGAGATAACTTTAGCATATAACTTAAGGCCTGAAGTTGTCCATTGAGGGTGGTGGTGGTCCAGACAAGATCAGTTACAGCTAGGGACACCTATCAAAATCACAATTATGTGATTTTCACAGAAACTGCAAATTTGGTAGGTCCCCTGTGAAAAAGCCTGATCCCAGCAAAAAAAAGTGTGGGGACCATGAAAAAGCAGGAAAATGCAGTGGGGGAGGAGGGGGGGGGGAGAAGTGGAATTTGCTTCCTTATAAACAGGTACTCACAGGATGAAAAGGATCTTTAAATGGTGAAACCCAAAAAACACATCCTTCTATCACCAACCTGAGCTACCCTGTAGGGCCAGACCTCAATTTGGCTAGAAGCCTGTTGTGTCAGAATTTTATAGAATTTCATTTTCACAATGAAAACAGAGGTCTAGATTCTGCTGTGTTGTAGCTCTTATTTGCTTCTATAGCAAAGAGCATTTCAAGAGGAGAGAGGGTGCCACAACATTTCTTCCTATGGAAGTAGATAATGGTCAGGGGTTAACTGCCACAACTGTTCTATGCTTACTGTCTCCCTCTCAACCAGCATAAAGGGATTGTTTCAGCCAGACTGTGAACAGGGAGACTAAGGAGAGGCAGGGATATTGCCAGAGACCACTGTGCTCTGGTTATTCTGTGCCAGTCTAATGGCCCATAAAGGGCTGTTGCTAGTCAAATGGTTTCTCTCAATTGTATCAGGTTAAAGCTGGATGGTGAAAAAGTAGCTAAAAGACATATTTAACTGGTCCTACTCCTTCTTTGCTCTGGGCACTCAAAACATTTATCCCACTTTGGGCAACACTGATAACAACACAGAAGGAGGGTTCATGTGTCTAAAATTATGTCCACCATACAACTAATCAGAAGAATAAAACATTACTTTTCTAGCCTCAAGGCTTAGGGAAGCTTTCTAAAACAGCAAAAAAGGTAGAATGTGCCCAGAAAAAAAAAGTATCAGATTTGTATCTTAAGTTATTTTCATCGGTCTGGGGGAAAATTTATCTCATTAGCAAACACGGTAATAATTTGCTCCGCAAAAGAGTTCCATTATTTCTGGGCCAGATGCCTTCATCAAGAGCATGAACAGCTCTGTAGGAGCTTTTTTGTTCAACTGAGACTACACACTTCCAAGCCTTTATACATTGTAGACTTCTTGCTAGGTCTAGCAAACGTGCTAGAGTTCTGAGCACATTCAAAAAGAAAGAGCTGAGTTTCTGGCTTTTCATGAATTTACCCGAGACTTTTTTTTTTTTTTAACAGCTTCCTCAATAGTTCAATTTTTTCACAGAATGCTACCAGCTTATGAGCAGTAAAATAATTTAGTTCACTCACATTATTTGATGTTACTAGAAAACATCTTCAGAGCCAGGATTTAATCTGAATCCACCTAAGCTAAGGATTGTCCTAAATGTAAGAGAAGCTTTTTACACTGTCCTCTGCTTTTCCATTCTTTCTTCTTTATAACATAAAATATCTATGATTTTGAGGTAGCTTTGAACCCTCCAAAGCTTTTCAGGGGTTAGAAAAAGAAGGAATATTGAGGAATGTCCAAAAAAATACATGTGTTCTTAGTAGTGATAAGGTAAAATTATGCCAGCATCATCTTCTCAAATATTATGGAAATGGATAAAGACAGACAATGACCTTCCTTGTACATATTCAGACAGTCTTTATGTGTCATGTCTACGGTTATCTAAAGTATTGACCTTGGAGGTTTATCATATCTGACTAAGCAGAATTTTAAAAAGAAAGACAGATAAAAGATGGTAAGTGGAGTTTGTTTTGGTATAATGATTTTATACAAGCATGACTGACTATAACAAAATGATCTCCAAGAGATCAGTTGATGTAATAAAACTGTAAAACTGAACACAAAATTTTAAATAAATTATTAAATATGCAGCATGTGCTAGAAAGATCAGGTATACCAATATCAAGAGCCATTCAGAACAAAGTTTCATTCAAACCATGTTGAAAAAAGAACAACAAAAGAATGTATTTAGAGTATGGAACTCACTGCTACAGGATGTTGTAGAAGTTTAACCAGATTCAAAAAGGGATAAGACAAATTCTTGGAGGAAAGGGACATCAGTAGCTAATGAACATGGTGTTAGGGGTACAGTGTCTGAATCAGAACTTCCTAGACCTTAAATGCTGGATGCTGCAAGTAGGAGAGGAACAAGGGCAAAATCCTGTACACTCTCCCTTTCAGACATTCTGTGTATCACAGGATATGGTCTGACCCAGTAAATGGCAGTTTTTATCTGGTAGTGGTCTGGCTAGGGATTCTGGAAGAGTATGTGATATCCTTCATGGAGTGAGGTGAAGATCATCTTAAAGTTTGAGGGAGGAGTAGTCCTCAATATGAGCCATGGAAGTAGGCCAGAAGTAAGGAGCTGCCTCCTCATGGTACTGTGCTTTCTACTGTAAGTCATGGCAAGGATATCAAAGAGCCCTAATGATAACCTAGATCTATTATTCATTAAGTCAACCCTCTGAAACGGGATGGCTATTTGAGGAGGGTGAAGAGGTATGGTCCAGTGAAGGGGAAAAGCAGACTTCCTTCAGACGTGGTGCCAAATTAAATAATATCAATCTCTGTTTATGTGACAGCAGTGGTCTCAAGGTTTATGTCATCCTTGGAATCTGTGAACTCTGAGTCTATAACCACTTGTACTACAAGTCACCTCCTAACTTGAGTTTGATGTTTCCACATCAGTGGCAGGATTGGTGTTGGTTTATGTTTATCAGTACCATAAGCATAGTCTCTAAGACAAGGAAGTCTTTTCTTTGGAGATGCATTTCTGCATTTCCTTGCAGAATGACACTAAGCTGTGCCAGCCATCTCAGCTTCTCTACTGAAACTCATTTTCTTAGTATCTGGCTTCCACTGTCAGCGCGTTTCTCTCCTTAGTATCAAGTCTCTAGTGTCATATTACCACTCTGGAGTAAACTCAAAGACACTGGTTTCCCTGTCACATTACTGGACTTGGTACTTAATTCTTTGGTGTCTTGACGTGACCCATATTAACTGCTCCAACTAATGGAGCAAAGGTCAATCATCCACAACTTGTAGATCTTGATGGAAGAGGAGACGTGGCTTTTATGCAAACAAATGATTTCTCAAATTGGAAGAAAAAGGAAAGACCTATTTTACAGGGCATGTATATGTTTCTAAGTGTCATGCACTTCTGCCTCGTGGCAGACTCTCAGACTCTCCCATTATTTTTTGGTCAAAGCAGGTAGTTAAATGGACACACTATTTTTTCTCCCAAAAGAACAGATGACTATTTGGTTACAAGATATGAAGAATAAATGCTAAAAACCCAGCAAATTGGACACAGACAGTTTGTGTCATAGTGTCATGAACAATAAGAAGGAACCGAGGGAGGGTCACAGCCCTTATGTCCTTATTCTGCTTTCTTTCATAATAATAAGGATGCCCAAGAGAACGTGGAGCTGTACTGGACATTACTACTCCAATCTTGCATGTATGGGATATATCTTACAGTGGGATCCTCAACTTAAAGAACAGTTAGTTTGGCAAAACTACAGTCTCATAAAAGGGAACAACAGGCACACTTAATTATAGAAGTCACTACATAGGCTGCCTATAAATTTATTTGAGAGTTTCAAGAGACCCTGACCATAATATGTTACGTACACTAGGCACTTTACCAACATAGTGATAGACAATCCTGCTAAATTATGTTGTACTTGCACATTACTTTAAAGAACATTGAAATAAACTGTCCCCTTGAGTCCGAAGTGTCACAGTCATTACAGATAATCTGAAGTAACTATATGAAAATGAAAATAAATTGAAAACATTTTTAAATTGAAAAAACATGCTGCGATACATAAATGACTCCTTGAAATACAAAGCACTAGGTTTCACCGTAAGTCATTTTTACATAAATGTTCCTCTCTCTACTTAAAGAATTATCTTAATTTATGGAATACAAGAACCTAAAGGAAAGAAAATCAGACTTCTCTAGTATTTTCTATCTTGCTTTTAAATTAGGATTTCTAGTAAACATTCTCATATAATTATGGAAAATCCTGTGACATTTAAAAACTGATGGTAACCAGGGCACTGTTTTCTTTTAAATGTATACTGATATTTGACTGCATGTAAGATCAAAATAAATTCAAAGATTATACATTTGTTGTTTCCATTTAAAAAACACACATGTAGTAGTTACCTTATAATAACTGAACTTAAAGATAGTTAATTTTACTATCACTTCTTATTTAATAATGATTGTTTTTGTACTGGTTGCAAGAAAAAAAGTTGGAAATGAAAAGGGTCTTAAAATTATTCTTTTTGTTTAAAAACACATAATTTAATTTTATATAATTTAATCAAAACCTATCAGTATCCAGTTTTACTAGATAAAGATATTATCTATGGAAACAAGGTCAATATAGCTGTAAAATAAAGATACTTAATATCCAATTACACTATATATTCCATGTAAAAATATTCAGTTCTTAAAGAGGTCAAAGATTAGTATTAATATAACACGTACACAAAAGATCAAACTAGTCAGTTAATGAAACATAAGTGATAAGTTTATAATTCACAGGGAATATTTTAAATTCCTTTTTTTTCACAGCTTTTAGAGTGATTGTTTTAACTGCATATCCTTGGTAAGGTAACTGTAGGTTAATTACCTTAAGTAACCTAATGTAACCAAGGCAGAAAGTTTTTTGCATATATAACTGTAGGTTACTCTGGGGCAATAAACAAACACGATAAAACTCTGATAATCTTATTATGGCAGTGATACTGGAATCAATTGGTTCATCTTTACAGGCATGCTAGCAACAGTAAATTTGGGGCTACTTCAGATTATTTGCAGTGCATGTCTACAAAACTGCCTTTCATTTTAACAGAGGGGGCTGAAAAAACTGTGAGACCTCTTCAGCTATTATAGTCTCAAACTTTCCAAGGTCTGCTATGACTATTGGTTTAAACCATGGTTATAAAAAAATGCTCAGAACCAAGTAACCTGCTCTACTTCTACACAAAGATGAGAGAAGAAATATGTGAAACACATTTCACCTGAGCAATTAATAATTCTCATGAAATAATAAACAAAGCTACAGATAATATTTTCAAAATAAGAACCTAAAAATGTATTATAGAAAAACAATCACAAGTGACATCTTCTCTTCTCCAAACAGGAAAAATAAGCAATTCTTAATCTTCCTAGGTCTTATAAACCTCAAGATATGTGGGACTGCTTGCCTTAAAATATTAGAAAGGATACAGAGCTGGATTTATCTCTGTAAAGACCAACATTTGTTTTAATCTGGTGGTTGTTTGGTGATCTACAGAAAATTAGCTTGGTAGTCTCAGTTCAGAAGTCGCAAGTACGTGGGTTTTTATATCATCACAAGTGCACTGATATGCAAGCTGGCTATCAGATTGGCACCAAGAAAAGGAGAAATGATGTTGTTGACTATCATTTTGTTTGGTCATTGTAGCCAGTAATTACAGCCGGTGCCTGAAGCACCCTAGTGAATGTAATCTGGTCCCCATGCCCCATCACTGGCCCGAGTCCACAGCTGACTACAGATCCCAACAAGCAGTGGGAGGGGGAGGGAGCGCCAGGGAGCAGTCATAGGGCACCATGCTCAGCAACAAAGGGACCATTACTGGCTCCTGCTGTTGCTGTCGCTGCCATGGCAATGCCATGCACACAGCAGGGTCCTGAGTGCTGAGTCTGCTCACAGAGATGTTGGGCTGCCACAGCACTGAGGCTGCTGCAGAGATGCTGGGCTGCTCACAGACAAGTTGCCACACAAGGGACATTTCACTTTGGCAGGCACTGGACACCTTTGCAAAAGTGGCTTCTCCCTGGCGGTCATAGGAGCTTGACTGCGTGGGGCCCGCCGGCACTGAAGCAGCAGTGTGCTCTGGGGCTCCAAACACTCCCAGCACTGCTGTTCATGCAAGGGTCTGCCCCGCCTGCCTGGGACGGCAGCACAGGCTATGTGGGGAGCAGGTAGGAGCCAGGGGCGAGGGAGCAACGTGCATGGGATAAGATGACCACTGCCTTCCTCATCAACAGCTGGAGCAGGCAGGAGGGGGGTGTGTGTGTGTGTGTGTGTGTGTGTGAGAGAGAGAGAGAGAGAGAGAGAGAGAGAGAGAGAGAGAGAGAGAGAGAGAGAGAGAGAGAGAGAGAGAGAGAGAGAGAGAGAGAGAGAGAGAGAGAGAGAGAGAGAGAGAGAGAGAGAGAGAGAGAGAGAGAGAGAGAGAGAGAGATATGGTTAGTTAATCCAGCCCTAAACTTCTGTGAATCTTCGGCTATCAGTATCGGCCAAGAAAATCTTTATTGGTCCACCCCTAATCACAAGCATTTTGGCAGACCCAGAGGTACTGAGAAATGAATAGGAAAAATGTAATATGACCTCTTTTTTTTATTCTGAAGTAGCTCCTAGAAATCAAGGCTTAGACTTGATGGCATTAGGGGTAGGACAATGTGGGGAAGCTTACGTTGCTAATTCCCAGTTCTGCATCTGAAGAATTTCAGTCCAAAAATCCAGTACCTTTGACAGCAGAGGTAGGCATTTATTTGTGTCTGAGGGCCACACAGAGAGTTTTGATGAGCTGTCATGGGCTGGGTCAGCACCCTCCCCACCACCTAACAACTTGCCAAAACTCCTTATAGGGCTCTGGGTGGGCAGGGAGCAGTATTTGGGAGGGGGATGAGCGGATGAGGCCCTGTGTGTGTGTGTGTGTGAGGGGGGTGTGGTGTGGAGAGGGCACCTGTGGATGTGGTCGGGAGGCACATGCAGCAGAGTTCACTTGGGCAGTGAGGCCTGCTGCTGTTCTGCATCAGGCCAAGCCCCGTCTATGGCAGCTTGCACCAATCCAGCCTACATCCACCAGCTCGGCCCCAGCTAATGCACAGCTTCTGGCAGCACTGTTCCCAGTGCGGTTGGCCGGGTCCTGCTCTGCTCCCCTTGCCTCCAGAGGGAGTTGTCCAGCTGAAGCTTCTCGCCTGCCCACAACAGCTCAGCAGGGGAAAAAGCAGGAGGAAGAGCTGTCACTGGAGGCAAGGGGAGCAGAACTGCCCTGCTGGCCTGTGGCAGGGCTGTTTCTGGTGTAGCTGCAGCCAGCCAGGAGCTGCTCTGCTCCCCTTGCCTCCAGTGACAGCTCTTCCTCCAGCTCTTGCCCCTGCTGTGCTACTCTGGGTGGGCAGGAGGGGAGGTTGTGCGCAGAACTTCAGCCAGGAGGCTCCCACTGAGCAGCACTGGGAACAGACCCACTGGAAGCAGTGTGCACTGGTTGGGACCTGGGCCTGTGGGTGCAGGCAAGAGTATGGCGTGGACTGCCCTGGAGGAAGCAGATGAAGCTCAGCCCCATGTGGGGTGCTGCAGGGGCACCTGTGGGCCAGATCTGGTCAGTTGATGGGCTGTATTTTGCCCACCTCTGTTTTACAGGTAGAAACTTAATGGAAAAAGTATGGAAATGTAAAAAATCCAAACTCTGAAACCATTTTCTTTTCCCTGTGTTTTACAGCTCTCTCTCAGACAGACTAATAAAGATCCATAATCAAACATCCCTCACAGAAAAGGCCCAGTCAGAAATCTTTCAATTGTAAAACTAAGTGTTATCAGCTTGGTTAAATATTTAAAAATAAATAAATCAGGAGGATGCTGAGGGACCTGTCTTTAATTAAAATGTGACTGGTGATACCTTTATTAGCCACACATCTTATAGTAAACACTAGGAAGTGTAGGTAGGCAAGAATCCTGCTTTACACTCCTGTTTTCCTGGAATGTTTAAAAGGCAAGCCCATTTAAATCAGACTAAGCAGCTCAGTCTTTTTTTTCCACACACATTGTGCAGTTTTAGTATGATTTTTTTTTTGTGCTGAATCATATCCCTCCCATCAAAAAGAGATCAACAAACCCAACCATGAATCTTCCCCATTTCTCCAAAATATGGTAGAGCTGCTATCCATATCCATATCTGGATTTGCTCTACTGATCCAGAGTTTGAGAAATTTTTATTAGAATAAAGCCTAAAGAGTGAATGCATTTTTACTATCTAAATAAACTGCAAGACAAAAGCCATTTAGGAAAAGACCAATGTTGCTTGTTGTTACCATAACTGAAGAAAGAAAAAAGTCTGCCAAGCAGTAGTATTATATCTTTTATCTGCTTTTCAAGGATCCTCAAACCAAAAGGATTCTAGGAATATACACTCTAACTCAGGGGGTTAACAATCTATGACCTGTGGGCTGGATCTAGCCATGGAGCCATTGGATCTGGCCTTTGGCAGTGTGGGAACTCAGTGGCAGGGACTTTGCTTGCTCCACGTTGCACCATACTGTGAGCAGGTGGTTGGGCAGTGGGGAACTTTCCTGTGCCATGTCACAGCTGGGTGGAAGGGAGAAAGGCAGCAGTGGTGGTTGCACCAGCAGTTGGGTCCTAGCACCAGCTCACCTTAGACCTGAGATGGGCCATTCCTGCCTGCTGCTGGAAAAAGTTGCTTTCTACTGCTCTGCATCAGACATCCTGGTAAATCCTCATGCAACCACTTATAACAATCAACAACAAATAATATACCTGGTTCTTCTGAGTTCTCATTGCATCTATTTCATACTCAGCATACTGGGGATCCAGGGCAGGATCCTTGGAATCTTTTAGGTCACTGTTCCTCTAAAAACAAATAAAAAAAAGTGTAAGAATCGCAAATCACAAAGTTTCTTTCAGTGCTCCAGCAAAATATTCAGGAATCAGTTTAAGGTCTGTGTTCACAGAAATACTACTATTCTTGCAAATGCATTAAAAATGAGCATTTGTCATCAATCACAAGAAAAATGAAATAGATCATGTTAATTTAAGAAGCAAAGTTTGTCGCACCCTATCCTCATTGGGAAGCTAGCAGACTGCGGAGTGGACACCTATACGGTCAGGTGGGTGGCCAACTGGCTTAGGGACCGCACCCAAAGAGTGGTGGTGGATGGCTCCTTCTTGGCCTAGAGGGAGGTAGGCAGTGGGGTCCTGCAGGGTTCAGTCCTCAGACCAATATTATTCAATATCTTCAACAGCAATTTGGACGAGGGCATGGAGAGCACCCTCTCCAAGTTCGCTGATGATACCAAGTTATGGGGCAAAGTTAGTACACCGGAGGGCAGGGAGCAGATTCAGGCTGACCTGGACAGGTTGGACCAATGGGCAGAGAGAAATACGATTCAATTTAATAAAGATAAATGTAAGGTACTCCACCTGGGAAGGAGGAACCCCCAGCACACCTATAGGTTGAGTGTCCTTCTCAGCAGCTCGGAGGCAGAGAGGGATCTTGGAGTCATAATTGACTCCAAGACGAACATGAGCCGGCAGTGTAACGAGGCCATCAACAAGGCCAATCGCACCTTGTCATGCATTAGCAGGTGCATGACTAATAGAACAAAGGAGGTGATGCTCTCCCTCTATGCGGCACTGGTCAGGCCGCAGTTGGAGTACTGTGTCCGGTTTTGGGCGCCGCACTTCAAGAGGGACGTGGGGAATCTCGAGAGGGCCCAGAGGAGGGCCACTCGCATGATTAGTGGCCTTCGTGATAGACCCTGCAGGGGAGGTTGAGAGAGCTGAAGCTCTTCCGCCTTCACAAGAGACGGCTGAGGGGAGATCTTGTGGCCACCTGTAAATTTATTAGGGGAGGTCAACGGGGAATAGAGGAAGCGCTGTTTACTAAGGTGCCCCAGGGAGTGACTAGGAATAACAGGTGTAAACTAGTTGAGAGTGGATTTAGGTTAGATATTAGGAAGAATTTTTTCACAGTAAGGGTGGCCAGGATCTGGAATAGGCTTCCAAGAGAGGTGGTGCTATCACCTAGCTTGGAGGTCTTCAAGAGGAGGCTAGATAGTCACCTGGCTGGGGTCATCTGAACTCAGTCCTCTTTCCTGCCAGGGGCAGGGGGTCGGACACGATGATCCATTGTGGTCTCTTCCGACTCTACAATCTATGAATAAGATCTTCATTCTTACCAAAGTTTAATTCTTAGGAGGGCTGATTACTAATCTAACTCCATGCCTCATTTCTCTGAAAGTGAAAAACTGCAAAACTTGCCTGCTTGTTGTGCATCTCCCAAAGTGCAAAAAGTGACATGACAACCTCTTCAATAACACTTTCAGTGTCCTTTGTCATATTCATCCAAACTGTCCCCATGCTTCTGCCTTGCACTATAGTACCATATGGTTTTCCCTATAGTCTGAAAATCTTGAGCACTGTCATGGTATTACTGAATTTGTTTTTATCCATTAAGTTCTTTTTATGTCTCGTAATTTACATTGAGAACTAACAGAAAAAAGTTTGGACAAAGGATCCTAAAAGTTTAAATAACTATACCTTCACCAAACATTTTGACTCTACTGAAACTCTCTGTATTTCATTCTTTAATCCTTCTCAAACAGAATAAATCTTATCAGCCTCTCCATTCCTCTTTTAATGACTAAGGATATAACCAGCCATTATCTTTGGAGCAGGATCAGTTGTGTTGGGATGTGTCCCAGACCAGATGATTGCTTTACTGGCAGATGTTGCCTGGAACTGTTGTCCTGCTGGGTCAGGCCCCTGCTGTGCTTGGATATCAATCCTGTAGAGCAATGGCCTAGGCAGTGCCCCAGATCGGGGTGCAGCAGTGAGATGCCACAGGAATCCCCTGGTTGAAGTGCATCAGGAACCCCTGTAGGGCATTCTCACAATGCGTGTCTGCAAGCAGGTGAACTCCCAAGCAGGTTCCCCCGCTGACAGATGCGTGCCAAGGTGTGGCAGTCTAATTTCTGCAGTATGCAATAAGCAAACAGACATTCCCTGACTTAAGGGCGCCAAACTGTGATTACCTTTGCCTGCAGCAACATTTTTGGGTATTTGGAGTGCTAGAATATCTGTTTGCTCACAACCTGTGCTGCCATAAAAAATTTATGGAGGCATAAGGACAACATGTTTGCACCTTCACTTATGTATGGACCTATATGCATAGTTCCAGCTTGTCTGGAGTAGGGGAAGATAACTTGAGATCTGGACTGAGTAGATTAGAGTACAAAAACTGTGGAAACTACGTAAGCTTGAAATACTTGTCTGAAGTTTGGACAAGCATTTGTATTTTACTGTCTCTTTTGTTTATCCTTTTTGACTACTGCTAGTTATGACAACCTCCTGTCTTCACCAATTGTCCCTTAACCTATTCACTTCCTACAAAGACCCATTCAAATGTGCATCCCTAAACAACCAGCATGTTTTTAGTGGCTTTCAATCAGTAAGTGTCTTCAGCAAATGCTGGTAGGAAACTGTCCTGTCACATGCACTTATGAAAATATCACATTTATGGTAGAAACCAAATAATCTAAAATTGTGTACATTATTTAGCTATTTAAAAGAGTACCTTTTGAGCAAATGAGAAAATATGCTACTAGCAAAAACAATAAAATGGATAGAAAAATAATAAATATAAGTTTAAGAATTAAAATTTTATCTGTAATATTTTTGCTAGCAGCTTCTTTCCTCAACCATAACAAATAGGTATAACCTCCCTCTCTCAATTCAGTTTCATGTCCTCTGTTGTTAGATGTCTTAGTACTAAATGTTTATAAGATGTGCAAGCACTCTAGCAACAAATTATTAACTTTCAGACAACAGTCTGAAATTACGTTAACTAACTGGAAGACAACTCTGCATTTAAGTCTGCTGTTTGATAAAAATTCTGATTGTTACATACTGCATTCTAGTCATTTACCAGTACAACATGGTGGCCTGAATGAGAAGAAAAACTGCTAGGACAGAGAAAATTACTGGGCAAGATTTTTCTTATTCTGCTGTACAGCATCTCTCCTCATTCAGAACAAAAACAAAGTAGGAAGCAGTGAGTTACAGAAATGGAGAAGGAGAAAAGATAAAACAGAATTATAATTATTAACATAATAGGCAGAAATAGAAATCTCTCCACATAAGGTGAGCTTTATAATTTAAGGAACTATTTGGGAACCAACCCAATAAAATCTTATTACAAAAAGATACATCCACAGAGAAATGGAAAACATTTTGCAAATTTTCTTCTATTCAGAGGAAAATTCAGATACTTTCTGATTTCCAGCTGCACCAGAGACCAGAAAGTGAACCCCATTTTCTTCCAGGAACAGTTTCCAAAATCCCAGCATGTTACTTTTATGAGGTTTTAGCATCTTCAGCAACTTTGAGGCCTTAAGTCCCTGACATTTTGAATGGAATGACATGGTAAGACATATGGATGAATAAAATGGACTGACATATGGATCCATATCTGAACCTGAAACTTTTCTCCACTCTCAAACACTGTTGAAGCTAATGAAGAAATCCTATTGAATTAAATTTTCTTTCAGTGCCCCGAATAAGTGTAAATGGTTCTGCAGAAAAGGCTGAAGTCAAGCCCCTGCTGTGGACCTGCGAAGCCAGCAAAATCAACACGGGATGGGTCCAGGAGAAAAAGGTAGGCTCCAGGGGCATGAGACAACATGTCCCAGGGAGCCTGCACTGATTGGCCTCGAAGGTGGACCAGGCAGTTTAAAGAAGATGCCAAACAGAGGATTGTCATTTGGCATTCCCCGGAGCAGGAAAAATGCAGCAGAGATGAGAGCTGTATGGACCGGGGAAGAAGAGGGCCCAGGCAGCCAAACCTTGGGACCCAGATGAGCCACAAGTGAGAATCAGACTTGTCCTCCAGGAGAGATAAGTAAAAGCAGACGGCAGGGCAGTGTGGGTCACTCTGGCAACCCTAGAGATGGGTAAAGGCGGGAGACATTTCCAGGACAGCCAGTGGAGACTGGTAGAGTGGGGGAGAGGATGGACCCAATGAGACTAGCATGCGTTGGAGGGAAGTCGAGGTGAGTGAGGGCAAAGGAGGGATTTGCCCAGTAAACCCAAGGAAAAGAAAAGAAGAGTGCAGGACTGATTGGTACAGCCTAACTGAATTATGAAAAAGTGCAAGAAGCAAGAGTGATTTAAGTTTGAATGAATTGGAGGCTGTGATTAAGAAATACACCATGATTTACTTTATCGGTGCAAATAAATGGCAACTGGGAAGAAGTACAAAGGGGTTGATTTATGATTAAGCATGGTCTTAAAGCCTGTACCTTAGCGTCTCCAAGGAAATTCAGTTTGTAAAGCCTGAAGTAAGGCCAAGGAAAGGCTGAAAGAATAAATAAGTTGATCTGAGGACCTGAGGACTAGTTATAGGAATTCTGAGTTCCACGAGGGAAGACACGCAAGAAGTGAAGGAAAGTGAAAAGAAAGTGTTGCTCACAGATAACCTGACAACTTAATACCAGAGAGGGATTTGATCAGAGGAGAAAGAAGGACCAGTGAGCAACAGACTAAACAACTTGACAGAACCCCGAGAGGGGGCTTTGCTAGGCATCCCCACTCCATAAAATAAAGATATTTAATATGCAATTACACTATATATTCCATGTAAAAATGTTAGGCATCCCCAACAGGGATTTTCCACCACCAGCCTGAGAGGAAAGGGGCAGGGTGTAGAGGAGGTGGAGCCCTGCAGAAGACTTGGGACCCTGCCAGACAGACCTTTGTCCGAAGAGCCATCCAACCTTCTTAATGGAATTAAACTATCAAGGTGTGATGGGCAAGTAAGAGGGTGGAACAAAGATTAGTGGTTTTCCAGCACAGTGCTAGGTTGAAGGCACACGTGCGCTCACAGGTCCATGAAGGAGTCTCATCTGCTTGGAAATCCCCATTTTCCTGGTTGACACTTCCCATGGCACAGTTGCTACTTTGGATCAGAAATAAGGCCCTGGCATGTTGATTTGACTAAAAGATGCAAGCCATGATAGAATGATCATTCTCCCAAGCCTCATTCCTATTAAAGTCTGGGCTGGTGGCACAGCAGTACAGCAAAGGCTTCACTGTGAAACTCCTGAAAAAACTGCCTAGAGCAACTCTTGAATTTGACTTAAGGCTTGCAGGGCTTCTTGGGTGCCTGTAGACATGCAGAGACACTGCTCCTATGCAATATAATTACAGCATGTCAGAACAGGCTCAATTAATCGAGTGAGGCTTGGGAGAATGATCATCATTCTCTCAGAGCCACTCTAACTAAAGTGCCCCATCCTCACCCCCACCCCTGGAGCATGTGCAAAGATGTCCCTTGATTGCTCTGGTAGGGTGCAGAGGGAGCTGCTTCAGCAGTGCTGTCTGGAGAAACCAGAGGATTAATATGTCAGCACTCTGTTTATACCTCAGCTGAGGAGAACAAAGACTTAAATGCTAAATTAAATCATTACTTTATAAAAGCAAATAAAATTTAAAGTTGCAAAGTAAAGTAGTTTGGAGAAATTGATTTGCCAGCATTTGGCCTGAACTGAAAGGCAATGGTTTAGTCAACCATACTGAACTGTCTCTAAAATCTGCAGATTATCTATTTGTTCTGAATAAGAAGAGTAAGTGTTAGGCCTGTGCAAACCAGCTAGTATTCACTTCGGACTCAGATTTGGCTGATTCGGGTAACGGCGATTAGATTCAGTGATTTGAATCACTGTCCCAAATCAATTCGGCTGCATCTGTTTCGGAGATTTGGCTGCCACCGAATCAGTTGAATCTCCAAATTAAACAGGCCTCATCCCCGTCCGCTCTCCCCACCCTGTCAATGGCTGCCCTGCCCAGCCCCAGCTCCAGGCTCTTAAAAAAAAAAAGCCCAGCACTCACCGGCTGCTGCCAGGCAGGGGAGAGCAATCCCCGCTGCCCCCTACTGCTTGGGGGGCTCTGTCACTAGTCTCCACCCCCCACCTGCTCTCCCAGCCCCAGCGTCCTGGCTCTTTAAAAAAACAAACAAACAAAAAGCCCTACTCACTGGTTGCTGCCAGGCGGGGGGCAATTCCCACTGCCCCATGCTGCGTGGGGGGGCTCTGCCATGAGCCCACATCCCCTGCCAGCTCTCCCAAACACCTCCATGGCTGCCCCGCCCAGTCCCAGCGTCAGATCTTAAAAATAAATAAATAAAAGCCCCACACTCACCAGCTCCTGCTAGGTGGTGGTAGGGGGGAATCCCCACTTCCCCCCACTGCCCCATGCTGTGTGGGTGGGGGGCTCTGCCACAAGCCCCCAGAAGCCCTGAGGCTGCTGGCGCAGCCCGTG